TGCAATGAATGGCAGAACAAACTCACAGACAGAAATACAGTGGCTCAAAAAACTGTCCGCATGTTTTGACATTTTTCACTATCTATGATATTGTGTGAGAATGAACAAATGCCTCAAGGACATGGTTATACCACATTTTAGTATGGCTTCAGGGCTTTCATTTGAGCCCTACACCGTGGGAATCTGTGGAGATATGGTGGAGACATAAGGCTTACAAAATCATGACTCATGCAGACAGTTTTTTGAGCACATATTAAAACTATATAAATCATCATTTATGACACCATAACAATCATGCCACCATTAAATAAATTATAAAGTGGTGTCATTATGTCATTTTAAAACCATATCTAACTATACAAACCAAAAATTTCCATATGTCATGGTTATATTCACCATGAAAGCCACCCCCCCTGCTCAAAGGGATAATATCCTCTCTCTTTCCTATTCTGGCCTCCCTGCTTGTCAAATTTCCTCTAGAACTGGAGTATCCAAGTCCACTGTGGCCAAGTTCATCAAAGAAAGTCACACAGACAAGGAAAACCTCTGTGAAGGGTGTCCATCCAAGCTCACCTCTACTGATAGGAGGGCTATTATTCAACATATCACTACAGGAAAGGCTGATAATGCTGTCCAGGTCACCTATTACATCAATTCCACCATCACATTCCCTGTCTCTTCACACACTGTGAGAAACATTCTCAAGACAGCTCATCTCAGGTCAGTAACAAGGAAGAAAAGGCTTTCCTCTCTATCACACATAAACAGAGATGACTAACCTTTGCCTTAGCCCATCAGAATTGGATTACATGGACTGGAAGCATGTTATATGCTCATATAAGACCACAATAAATAGGATTGGGTCAGATGGCAAGGTATATGTGTGAAAAAAGAAGGGTGCTAGTCCTCTCTGCATATGTGTGATAGAGAGGAAAGCCTTTTCTTCCTTGTTACTGACCTGAGATGAGCTGTCTTGAGAATGTTTCTCACAGTGTGTGAAGAGACAGGGAATGTGATGGTGGAATTGATGTAATAGGTGACCTGGACAGCATTATCAGCCTTTCCTGTAGTGATATGTTGAATAATAGCCCTCCTATCAGTAGAGGTGAGCTTGGATGGACACCCTTCACAGAGGTTTTCCTTGTCTGTGTGACTTTCTTTGATGAACTTGGCCACAGTGGACTTGGATACTCCAGTTCTAGAGGAAATTTGACAAGCAGGGAGGCCAGAATAGGAAAGAGAGAGGATATTATCCCTTTGAGCAGGGGGGGTGGCTTTCATGGTGAATATAACCATGACATATGGAAATTTTTGGTTTGTATAGTTAGATATGGTTTTAAAATGACATAATGACACCACTTTATAATTTATTTAATGGTGGCATGATTGTTATGGTGTCATAAATGATGATTTATATAGTTTTAATATGTGCTCAAAAAACTGTCTGCATGAGTCATGATTTTGTAAGCCTTATGTCTCCACCATATCTCCACAGATTCCCACGGTGTAGGGCTCAAATGAAAGCCCTGAAGCCATACTAAAATGTGGTATAACCATGTCCTTGAGGCATTTGTTCATTCTCACACAATATCATAGATAGTGAAAAATGTCAAAACATGCGGACAGTTTTTTGAGCCACTGTATCACCCGTGGAAAATAGGAGATAAGGTTTGGTTATCAGGAAAGAACCTGATCACGCAGTTACCATCACGAAAGCTTGCACCAAAGTGATATGGCCCCTTTCCTATCATTGCTGTGCTATCTCCCATCACATTCACACTCCAACTGCTGCTGCAATGGAAAGTTCACCCCACATTCCATGCTTCCAAACTATCATCCTATCACGAAACAGAGATTCACGGTCTGAATTTCCATGATCCTCCCCCAGATGTCATAGATAACAAAGAAGAATATGAGATCAATGCAATCTTATCGCACAAAGGCACAGGTAAATGAAGACACTATCTAGTATCCTGGAAAGGACACTCCTCTGCTAGTAATGAATGGATCACAGAAGAAAACCTTCGCAACACCACTGACGTCCTTGTTGCATATAAAAAGACCCATCAATTGTAATCCCAGAACAATGTCTCTTGAATGCCTATGCCTCTGCATCCAATGTATCGAAGAATTGACCGCTGCTATGAACACTACATCCGAAAACATCACTCACCCATTATCCCTTGCCGACTACCAGACTGCTACTGCCATCAACCTTGCTGCCGCTACCGCTATCCCCATCACTTTCCCGCCATTATCTGATACTACCCTTTCTAACAACTCTAGTCTCTCCAACTACTTCACCATTCTCAATGAAATCGAAAATAATACCTTGTTTGAATCTGCCATCACCTCCCCACAGTACACAATTGAGATAGACCATATCCTAGGAGAGAACGGAGCAATCCCCAGTGGACTCCTTGTCAGAATCATTAGAGACGTTAGCCTTGTTGAGCGCACCACCAACCTTCTTGATGATGAACATCACAAGACCATCTTCTGCCACCTTCACATACATATTCATAATACTGCAATCCACCTGCTGCCTTCTACTACTAAGGAAGCTATCAGAGAGGCTATCCACATTGTCACCAAACAAATTGCTACCAACCCAGTTGCACAACCCCCTTCCCCACACATTGCCATTCCAATCCCACCGCCAGTTCTTCTGACAGCTACCACTGAGCATTCGGATGATGATATCCCTCCTATTGCTGTACTTGATGTACCAGCTTCTCCTGCTCCTACCCCCATCACACCCACTACATGTCACTACCCCACCAGGTGCAGATCCACCTGCATTGCCAAATGAATGACATTGCCTTCCCCACACAGAAACTGCAAACAACGATCCAGATCCCCATCTCCACCTGCACAGTCATCTACTGTCACCACCGTAAAGACAGCAACCATCAACAATGTAGTATGTCACAACTGTTGCGTCGCTGGGCATCGCTACAAGAACTGCCCAGCGTATTACTGCTGGGTTTGCAAAGAGTATGCACCCGGACACCTATCAGTCTTTTGTAAAGACCTGAAGGGGGAAGCAGTCATTCCACTGGTCTGGACTGATGCTGGATTCTATGAAAGCCCTCACTCATTGGGAGATTGAGCAGGACGCCATTTATCACAGCTGCTGAGATGGCTGATAAATTGTTCATTATTACTGAGGAGCAAAACAACTTGCTGGACTCTGACTATGACACCAACCCAATCTATTGGGCTAATCAGGATAACTGAAGTTGGTGACTTTGTTCCTAAACGAGGGGTAATGTTACAGTCATGTATGCCCCTATTCATTTTCTCCTTATCATTCTTGTATTACGTCACAAGCCACACATTGCCACTGCTAGACTTATCTTTGACTCATTTGTATTACATCACAATCACCGCTTGCCATCACTAGATGACTCATCTCTTATCTCTGACTCATTGGTTGACTCATGCCTGCCCTGAATCATCTACATGTTCCCTATATATATAGTCAATGATGTACTTAGTAGTTCTTCACTTTAATCTTACTAGGTTTTCACCTGAAACATCTTTTGCTTAGGACCTCCAATCCTAAGTCATCTAAACTGATATTCAAGTCAAAGACACTCTCTTTGCCTTGTCTTATAACCCTTGCATTTGCAAGGTCTTGACTATAACTTCAGCCATTACTCTTATCAAGCTGCTGTTGTTACAACCATCCTAGTTTGTAACAATTCCATGCGGGCAGGAGGGGCAACCTCTCTAGCTGCTGCTAGAGTTTCTCTGGAACATATTCAGGCAGTCAGATGCTGGAATTCAGGCACATGGGAGCGCTACATGTGTAAAAACCCAACACTGTTGCAAGTGTTATTATTTCATGGTCGTCCTATGCATGACCCACCTTTTGCCAATGTGTAGCCTTTGCCATGCTGTCACTGTATTTGTTACAGACTAGGATAGTCGTAGCAACAGCAGCTCAATAAGAGCGATGGCTGAAGTTATAGTCAAGACCTTGCAAATGCAAGGGTCGTAAGACAAGGCAAAGAGAGTGTCTTTGACTTGAATATCGGTTCAGATGACTTAGGATTGGAGATCCAAAGCAAGAGAATGTTCAGGTAAAAACCTAGTAAGATTAAAGTAAAGAACTACTGAGTACATGGCCAACTATATATAGTGAACCATAGGTAGTTCAGGGCAGGCATAAGTCAATGATGAGTCAGAGATAAGAAAAGGACACATAAGCAATAAGAATGAGTCATCTAATGATGGCAGCAGCGATCATGATGTAATACAAGGTATCAGACCCAGTGAAAACTGACTGTGATGGGAGGTGTTGTGGTGTGATGACCAGTGATTTTGTCAGCAGCTTAGTAGAAAAACATACTGAAAGCATCATATGACACGTAGTGAGTGAATCCGCACATTTCAATATATGTGGGGGCAAGATTCCTCATGTCCATAGGTGTTTTTTTTTAATGTAAAACACATTTGCACATCTGAATGCACATTCTCGCTCCCCTTGCCAGATGGTTGAAAATATGCACAAATATGCTCGAATAATATTAGGCACTGTAGTAACAGGGGTACAAAAGCACTACAAAAAAAGCTTAAAAAAACAGACAGCAGCTCAAAAACACAATGGACAGGGACTTGAAAACATTGCAGGAAATGTGTATGTCAGATCATGCAGGAATCTAATAAAGCCAACCTTTGCAGACAGATTTGTTCCATGTATCGCTAGCGACCTAGATGATGATTTAGAAAGGTGTGATTTGAGAGAATAAAGGACTTACAAGTGTAGCTGCTTCTTGTCATATCCCTATCAGTCAGTGTGAATGAATCAACTTGAATAGAACAAGCAATTATATCACTTGCCTTTCATTGCTCTAGTGTCAGATTCCCACAAGCACAAAAACCCTCCATCATCCCACCGATTTTGATTTGCTTCAGTCAACAAAGAGCGCATAGATTACTGCAACCCATCAGTAAAGCCAAAGTCTAAGAAAAAAAATGTGTACCATCAGTTCTTAGTAGGGCCCAGGTGCATTTTCGAGCATGGAGAGTTTGGTGACCTGTGCTTCCAAGATTCCACAATGCTCTCGCAAGGCCTGGTTTTCATGCATATGTGCACCCTAAAACATACAGTAAGCTAATAAAAATGATAGCAAACAAAACTCACCTGCTGAAACAAGCCAAATTGAGGCTGTGGGACTTGCACTGGTGGTGGAATTCCGAGCACATTTGTGACATCCAACAGCATGATTGTTACTCTCATCAACTCGTGCACACTTAGCAAGTTCCCGCAATGCAACAGTATGACAAGCACTACTGGTAGATGGAGTGCCAGGAGGATCAAGGACATGGTGTGCTGCAGGCTCAGAGTCTAGTGGGAGATTTTGGTTAGCTGGAAGAAGTGACATGTGCTCTGGTAATGCTCTGTGCAGATGAATACTCTCACTTATCTCCTGGGCCTCTTGTAGATGTCAGCACCAAGTTGCTGCTGATACACTATGTGGGCCTCCCGAAGTTGTATCTCAAGCACACACAGAGACTGAAATTTTTGGCAGACCTGCTTGTAAGCATGTTTGCTATAGATTGAAATATAGCTATGGGTGCAAAGACTCCGATATAATGAACCTACACAGGCGCCAAAGTGCGATGGAGAAGCAAAGCAAAGACAAAGAAAGCAAAGACTAAGAAGCAAAGCAAAGGGAAATATGCGAAGTTAGTGCTTTGCAACACAACATTGTGGCACAATGTGTGTAATGTGAGTCAGATTATGATAAATGAGCATATACCAGCATGTAACTAAAAAGGAAAATCACTTGTCGTCACACCATGACACCTCCCATCACAGTCAGTTTTCACTGGGTATCAGAAGTACTATCATTCCAGGTAATCTGCAACATGCATGTAATATGCAAAATGTTCAAAACACCTCAACGCACTGCTCAACTCACTTCAAAAAAATTCATGCATATGTAGACTACTTATATATGATGTACTGTCCAAGTAGAATGAAAATTTCTCGCATGTTGCAGCTGTGAGGGATGAAATAGTGGTAATTTGTAACCATGCAGGAACATAAATTATCCAGATCCTATAGATCCTGCAGGTATATTCCTGAAGTTATACCTGGAGCACAACAACCACCTCGTCAGGATTACAGAACACAATTTCGATAAAGCTTATCCTGTCATTTTAAGATGCTATAGAGGAAGAATTGACGACATGTATGAAAACGTGACAGTAGATAGGAGAGTGTGTAACAAATTCAATCTCCTCTACAGCACACTCGGCAAGTGCATGAAGTCTTGCATTGTTGTCTCCTCTTGCATCATTCTCACATCCTTGTTACAATGGCACCAAACCGCAGGCATACTACCAGTCAGAAGAAAGCTGAAGAAGATGTGATTCATGAAGCCAACTTCACTGCTGCTATTCAGGCCACCAGAGAGGAGAAGACCAAGAACCTCCAAACAGCAGCTGCAGAGTTTAAAGTCCCATACCATACTCTTCATCAGTGGGCACAGAACCTCACTAAACCTCATTCGAAAGCCCACAAAAACAGCCAACTACTTACTGAAGGGCAGGAAGCAACAATATGTGACTGGGCCAAGTACTTGGCTATGACAGGTCACCCTCTCTCCAAGCACAACCTTCATGCAAAGGTGTCAGAGCTTAGCGAGAAGTTAAAGGCAAAGAAGAAGCTCACTAGAAAAGATAAGGGGCCATCAAAAACCTGGGTCAAAGATTTTCTCGCTCGCCATTCAGAACTCAAGCTGGGACACCCGACAGGCATCGATCCGAAGTGGATGCAAATGTTTAACTATACAACTGTCAATCACCACTTCAAACTCCTGGACAACTTCTTGAAATCCGAGAACATCCCCTGGGATAATGTGTATAACATGGACAAGAAGGGGATTCAACTTGGAGGAGGAAGGAAATGTGATAACACAAAGTACCTGTTTTCACGGACAGCAAAAGCCCGAGTCAAGGCAAAGAGTGACCAGCTCGAGCTGGTAACAGTGATCGAGTGCGTGTGTGCAGATGGCACTAGTTTGAAGCCTGGCTTCATATTTTCTGGGTCACAAATATACCCTGAGTACTTTGAAGAAGATGGCATCATGTGAGTCTCTGCTCAATCATAGGTAGAAAAAGCTCACTCAATTCCGATATCAGAGTTGCGACATCTGAAAATGGTTGGACAAGTGACTTCATCGGCACTGAGTGGTTTGTGAAGAGTTTCGTGCCACAAGCCAAGGAATGGAATTCATCTGGTCAACCAATCATCCTAATATACAATGGACACTGCTCACATGAGACAATTAAACTTCACCAAGCAGCAGAAGAACATGGTATTCACCTTTTTTGCCTCCCCCCCACACAACACATTGCTTGCAACCTCTCAATGTGGGTGTTTTTGGTCCCTTGCAGAAACAATGGCAGAGACGCAGTGAGGTCATAATGGAAGAGACCGGGGAGGGGATCAAGAAGCGCGACATGATTCGAGAGTACATGAAGGTGAGAGATATCGCATTTAAAGAGGAGACAATCCTACAGGCCTGGAAAAAGAGTGGAATTAGACCGATAAACCCAGGAATATTTACAGAAGAGGATTATGCACCAAGTTATGAGTCATCCACCCAGCTGCACCTCCCCGCCACCTTTCCTGTCAATCCAAGCTCTGATCCCCCTTGGCTGCCCTCCAAATCCAATCCCCTTTCCAAATCCAATCCAGCATATGAGCCACCACACGAGAACTTGTCCAACTCTGACAGTTCAGAATCAGACTCAAAGTCATCATCTGCTGAGTCAGACGATGACTCAGGCAATTGTACCCATGGCTTCGGTGAAATGACAGATCAAGGGACAACCCTGCAACAATATTCATCATTATCAGTGCCTGAAGCTGGTCCCTCATGTTTTGCTGGCTCACTCAACTATACTCCAATGCCTTCCAACGGCACGGCAACTGGTACCAGCGCACACCCACCTCGACACCACACTTGATCAGTATCACTTCGGACATCATTGTCACGAAGTGCAACACCTGCGCTGATCAAGCAACCGAAAACAATGGCAGAGCGTCTCCAAGACACTGAAGAAGAGGTTGAATGGCTGCGTCGAGAGAATGAATTATTGATGTATCAAAAAGATGCGGCAGAGACTCACTGCTATTTTTCAGGTCAGATGGCCGAGCACTACAAGGAACAGTTAAACAAGAAGCTCAAAGACAAATCTCACAAGGGATCAGGCAAGAAATGAATGAAGCCATATTCGAGGGTACTGACATCAGAGGAAGGCCGCATAGAGCTGAGGGGGCTGGAGGCTGAACAGGCTGAGCGCAAACGTCAAGAGGAGGCAAGCAAACAGAAGAAGGTCGCAGAGGAGCAGGGAAAACGTGATCGGCGAGCAGAGCAGGAGTGGTCCCAAGTTGCATTTACAGGTGCAATCAAGACAAAAAAATTGGATGAGCTATGTGACATAGCTGTGGCCTTGCAATTACCGGAGACTGGACTCAAGGCAGAGCTACTCCAGCGAATTGTGCAGTTCTTTGACAGCCAACCAGAACTCAAGAGAAACCAGCAGTACAAGGGTTTATTTAATGCCCCCCATTCTCGCAGGCAACATGTTGAAACTGGCAATAACACTACTGAGTCAGCACCACAAGACACGCCGAGTCATCAAAATTTGATGCACACACCATTTGGCGGCTATCAACCACAGCCTATCCCTCAACCCTCGATGTCACACATGGATCTTCCCCCACCCGGCAGGTATGCGCCCCCATATTATCCCATGCACCATTCAGCGCCTCCACCTATTCCCCACTTTGCGCCGGTGGCTGGTAGTAGAGCGGATTTTCGAGTTGGTGCTGAGGTACAAATGTATGATGTTGCACATGGTCAACCTTATTCAGGACCCTATCACCAGTACACTCACAATAATTACATGAATCACGATACTCGATGATAATATATTGCTGTATTCATTATTTATCAGAGCATTAAGTTTCAAGCTTCCAGTTCAACGACTCAACGCCAACAGATCGAGAGCGCAGTGCGGAGAGTCAAAGTTGACTGTGCTGGTGCTATGCCGAGGTGTGACTCGATGTGACCATATTTTGCAGATTAGCAGTCAGACCTCGATTCGCTTTCATCCGACACCACACCATAAAATCCTAAAAATGAGCAAAAATAAGATCTATATAGAGGCGGTACGAATCTACAACACTCTAAATTCATGGAAGATAATATGAAGTGATTGACGAGCTACAAAAGATTTGCTGAAAATGTTGCAGATTACCCGGAATGATAGTAAGTCTAGCGGCGGCACTATGCAGCTCGTGACATAATACAAGGTAAGAACGAAGGAAAATGAATAGGGGCATACGTGACTGTAACAGTATTTATATCTCTTTATTTTTTCTTTATTTTTCTCTTTATTTAATCTCCCTCCCATCCCTCCCATTTAATAGTCATAATAGCGGTCGTTCCTTCCATTTTTTCATTTGTTTGGGGCTCATTCGTTTATTTGGGGCTCAGATACTTATCTGCGACATCATACTGTTAGTCATCAATAACAGCCGGCTCCTCGGCATGTTGAGGAGTCGTTTTTGGCTACACCGGTATTCGTACGCCTCCCTAAATCCTGTGAGACCCATTAAGACGATAATGTGTCTGTGTGGCTGTGCAGTGTTTTCCGGCACAACTTACTTGCTCCGAGTCATCCAGATGGCCTGGTACACTTCGAACTTCTACTTAAGTCAGGTCTACTTCTGGGAACGTCACTCCTTTTGTCTGTACAGGCTACCTTATACTTCATTCCCGAGCAACTTATGAGCGGTTTGAAGATTATTGAGAGGTGCTCGCTGAACTTCAGCTCGTAATTCAACTAACGATCGTGACAGGTTTCACAACCAACTCGTCCTTGTCCAAGAAATAGGTTGGTCTATGATAGGGAATCAGGGACCTAACTAAAAGAAGAGTACTGTCTGGTGCATCTCGACTGTGGACAGTATAATCCGAGAGTGTCTCATCCGACCATGTGTTTTTCTGGGAAACAGTTCGCAGTGTGGGAGCACTTGGGAGGGGTCTCACAGAGGAAACTCTGTTTCGTGTGCTCACAGTCTAATCCTGGCACAAGGTCATGCTGCTTCTGTGCTCGAGAAAGTTATAAAAGATATGGGTGATTGATTTTGTAGTATCAGCTTCTGGCCGTCTCGGTCGACATGCGCTACTCATTGACCGCATGTTTCACCCTCAGCCTCGTAGTAGCCTCCTTGGCTGAGCCTACTTTCGGCCCATATAATGTGCATGAGAAACGCAGCGCCATTCCTATTGGATGGTCTTATACTCGAAGGCACGAGAGTGCGGCAACTCTTCCTCTGCGCATTGCTCTGCAACAGAGTAACATCGAGTTTATCGATGAATATCTTTACGATGTTTCTCACCCGGAGTCAGCTAACTACGGCAAGCACTGGACTGCAGGAGAGATTTCCCGAAAGTTCTCACCCTCAGAGGAAGCCGTTTCCACCGTCAGAGACTGGCTTGTTGAGAATGGACTAGAGAGCGAGCGCATCCGCGTAAGTTCCACCAAGGGTTGGATTAACGTCAATGTTACAGTCGAAGAAGCGGAACGGCTCATGAATACCGAATATAATGTTTACACTCATGTTTCCGGACAGGAGCACGTCGGTCAATATCTTCGTGGAGGACACTAATGCGGCACTCACGCACCACTTTTTAGCTTGCGAAGCCTACCATCTCCCTGAATACATTGGCACTCATATCGACTTTGTCCTACCTTCCGTCAACTTCGACGTGAAACTCAAGGGTCGATCTGGTAGTCAGCCAGAACCTGGTCGCGCGATCGGTCAACCTGGTGTAGGAACCACCCCGAAGACTACCGGCACTATCTCACAAACAGTGACTGAACTTGAGCAGTGTGACCAGTACATCACTCCTATCTGCTTGAGGGCTTTATATGAACTTGTATACGAGCCTGTCGCTACTGAGAAGAACAGCTATGGCGTCGGTATGGTTTCTATTACATTGGCCACCCTGTGAGCTAATTCATCACCTAGTGGAATACACTCCTCAGGCGTACTTGCAATCCGACTTGCAAATGTTCGCCCTGAACTACTCCACTGATCTCCTCGGAAAGGAGCCAGTCATGGTTTCCATTGACGGAGGTGATTACCTTCATAAACGTTCATTGATAAAACCATGAAGGCGTGCTGCAGGGTACGCACAGACCGAGTACCAAGGTTTTGACTACAACGGCGAGTCGGCTCTCGATCTCCAATATGGAATGTCACTGGTCACTGGCAAGCAAAATGTCACTCTTTACCAGACTGGTGACATGGTCGAAGGTAGGATGAGAACAGGAGAAAACGCATCACTAACCTCATTGATAGGAGCTTCTTTCAACAACTTCCTCGACGCCATTGATGGGTCATACTGCACGTTCGAGGGCGGTGACAATTACACTGTGGATTCACAATATCCTGACCCATACGGAGGGGGTTATGAGGGTAAGTGCCCGTCTTTGTTGGATTGTAACTACGATAAACTTGGATATTGTGACAGGACCCGAGGACTGTGGCACTGTTGCACCTGCCTACGTTATCTCAACGTCATATGGATACAATGAGGCTGAACTCACTCCGTTCTATACTGCGCGCCAGTGCGCAGAGTATGCGAAACTTGGCTTGATGGGCGTTACAATCCTGTACAGCTCTGGAGATTATGGTGTTGCTGGTCATGGAGACTATTGCTTGAATCCCAATGGTATGCCTTGAGTTGAATCTTCACTTCTATCTTCTTACACGACAATAGGCACTCAGTCCTCAACTGGTACGATTTTCAATCCCACTTTCCCTGGTACCTGCCCCTATGTCACATCTGTCGGCGCTACCATGGTCAAGCCAAATGCAACTGTCTTCCAGGCTCAACCTGAAATGGCCTGCATGGAAGTTATTTACTCTGGTGGAGGTTTCAGTAACTACTTCGCGATGTCCTCATACCAGAAGACCGCTGTCGATTACTATCTGCAGAATTATCCTCCCGACTACCCCTCAGATATTTGGAACTCGACTGGCATGGTGAGTGTCAGAGTGAATGTGATATGTTCAATCGAATAAAGCCAACTATCAGTCTCGTGCTTTGCCCGACATTTCTGCCAACGGAGCTGTGAGTGTCACAATTAATTGCATGGATATCTGGGGTTTGATGTCTATTATTTCCTGTCAGAACTACGTTGTCGCTGTCGACGGTCAATTTGAGCTTGTGTACGGAACTTCCTGTTCTTCACCAGTTAGTGGCGCCATCTTTACGATGATCAACGATGCCCGTCTCGCTATAGGAAAAGGCCCGATTGGGTTCATTAACCCTACAGTACGTTACTGCCCTTTTGCCCTGTCTCAGTTGATAATTGATGGTGTTAGATCTACTCTGCTGGTTTCGCGGGTGCTTTCAATGATATTACTGAAGGGTCAAACCCGGGCTGTGGTACCGAAGGTTACAATGCAACCGCTGGATGGGATCCAGTTACCGGTCTTGGTACTCCCAACTTCCCTAAGTTGCTCGAGAATTGGCTAGCTCTTCCGTAGAATATGAGCTACGTGACAGACCACTCGTGTTCAAATTGACCGTCGACAGCGACAACGTAGTTCTGACAGGAAATAATAGACGTTAAACCCCGCGGATCCATGCAATTTGTGACAGACACTCGAAGCTCCGTCGACAGAAATGTCGGGCAAAGCACGAGTATTCAAGTTGTAGTAGGAAGACAAGATGCGATGAATGATTTCATTAAACACGCTGAATAGATTAGGCAAGCCTTGCATTGCGAGTGCTATGCTGTGCTATGGGTAACTTACAAGGGATGCGACTACGAAGTTTACAAGGCGATTATACGCAATTTGATGCGAATGATCGGAAGAAATGATGCAAAACGAGGAATTGTCACATGTAAATGCGAAGAACAGCGCAAAACAATGTAATTGCAACATTGTTTTCATTATCTACGTACTCAATCTCACCATATCGACCGTACACATAAAAGTTTCATCCATATCTCACCAGGCCTGGTGATAAGCGGTTCCTACTGGGTATAGATCACAATCCATCACGCATTCATTCATTCTGTAATGTGATGTTCGCGTTCGGACTGGACATGATTGGTTGCCGCATCCTGCGGAACACTGGGTTCTCTGCAAGAAGTTGATTACAATGTAAGCCTCAGAATGCACGACACGTACGAATGAGATCCCTTGGGTCCAGGATTAGGTGAAGATGAGGTCAACATAGCAACCTTGGCATCTACCCGGCTCTCCTTCTCCCGTCCATCAGTTGTATCGGACCTATAGTAACTCGTGTCCTCCATAACTTGGCAGGTACTGTCTGCCGATATCACCTCTTTGTCGTCCTTGAGTCTCGGCGTGCTAGACAATTGTCAGTCGAGGGCAGGCGCAACATAGAAGTAGAAACAACGTACGAGGAGCCTTGACCAGGCAGGTCCTTGGCCCCATCTTGACCCCAGGGTTCCCCGCATTCGTGAGTGGCCGGAGAAGAGGTTTGACCTGTCGTAGACGCGCCTTCAGGTAAAGATGAGCTCCTAATATTGTTGGAGGCTGGACTGGGTTGCTGCGTGTTCTCGGATGCTACGCAGAAGGGCTGTGCTGAAGTTGGATTGTTTTCTCCACGTCCCATGAACGGGTGGACGGGGGCAGTTGTTTGCGATTGGTTGACTTTGTAATCGACGGGCAGCTCGTTACTACAGGGGGGAGTTTGAGCTGGCTGTTGGCGGACGTGTTCACTGCTGACAGTCGAGCTATGACTCGAAGTCTGCATGGAAGTCGTCAAGACCGTGATGACACTTGAAGAAGTTGCCGCATCCTGTGGAATGTCTGGCTCACTGCAAGGAGATTATTCAAGTGTAAGGAGGTCAAACGGCACACTACTTACGAGATTGACAACCCGGGCCTTACAGTAGTCGAGGACAGAGGCAACGCAGTGTCGTCGGCGTCCTTATCTATCCGCCTATCATCGTTCCTCGTCACAGCGTCTGATGTCGACTGTCCGAGCATTTCAACGCTGCAGGAATGATACGCCAAGTTTTGCTCAACCTCGCTCTCCATCTCCCGTTCATGATAATCTCCCCTGGTCACCGAAGCCTGGTGCACACAACCCACCGTTACGTCGACTTTGTGGTCCTCAAATTTCCGGATGCTGGATAAATTTAGTCAAGTCAAATACAGTGCAAGAGCAACGTACGATGAGCTTCGACTATTATATCGGTTCCCCATCACATCATGATCAGGAGCTCCTTGTAGGCAATCGCCTGCAGGAGAAGTCTGGCCTATCGTCGATGTGCCTTCAGGCATAGGTGAGTTCCGAAGATCGTCGGGTGTTGGACTTGACGTCTGTGCGTTCTTGACTCCAATGCCTGAGAATTGTGAAGGAGTTGTATTGCTCTCCCCAACCTGAAGTATGACGATACCGGATGAATGGACTTGCTGGCGACCTCTGCTGAGTGTGTCATCGGTATCTGGCTTATCGCTAGAAGGAAATGTGTAAACTGACTGTCGTTCGGTGTGCCATTCACCGCTCTCAGACGAGTGACGACTCCAGGTGTGCTCCGATTCGGAAGTCTTTGAAACCTCGTTGACCTCTGAAGACTGGCACTCGCACCTCAACACCATGACAGCCTGGTACATGTGATCCGCTGTTACACCCTCTTCATCGGCCTCATGTTCCGAAGAGCTGGACAGTTTTAGTTGAGGGTGAACGCAGCATAGTAGGAATCACGTACCATGAACCTCGGTTAGGCTGGTCCTTAGTCATATCCTGGCCACAGGGTGCTTTGTGTATGTTAGCGACAGGAGAATGACTCTGACCTGTCGTCATTGTGAAAGATGATTTCCAAATTCTGTTTGAGACCGGGCTCGACTCCTGGACGTTCTCGACTGCTTTGTCCATAGATGGCGGTGAATCCGAATCGCTTCGTGCCAAGGACAGACAGACGTGGCCAGATAAAGTTGCTTTGGGCTCGTCACAACAAGAGAATGACTGGGCTCGTTGAGTCCCTTTGCACTCAGTCGAGCAATCACAGCTCGAGGTCTGCACAAGAGCAACTGAAGCTGTGTCGACTTCGGAAGACTGGTGCTCGCATCTAGACTGTATTAAATGGGCTCCCGCACCCTGTGAGATACCCAGATCACTGGAAAAGGTTTATCCCAATATCAGACGCTCAAATGGTGTATCACTTACGAAGGAGGCAGCGTAGTCATTGGGGACGAAGGTAACGCAGGGACATCGATGTCCTCATCGGCTTTCCTATCGACTTTCAATACCACAGTCTCCGACGTGGATCGTTCGACAATCTCGACAGAATGGAAATGTGCTGTCGAGCTGAGCTTAAACTCGCTCTCTGTCTCCAGTTCATGACGGCCTCCTCCGTTCTCCACAGTCTGGTACGTACATTCTGCCAGTTCGTTGCTGTCAAGTTTCGGGGCACTGGATGGGCTTGGTCAAGGAAAAAAATAAAACAGCATAGGGACTACATACGAGAAGCGTTGACAAGGTTGGCCTGTCGCAACATCTTGACCACAGGGTTCGCCTTGTACAGTAACTAGAGAACCACGAACTCTGTTCTCAATCGAACGCTGGCTTGAGGTCTGGACGAGAGTAGTCGAATTTATGTTGATATCTGAGGACTGGTGCTCGCGTGCAGACTGAATGCGACTGATTCCCGCATCCTGTGGAACGCCTGGTTCACTGAAAAAGGTGCATTTTAAGAAGCTTGAGCTTGAACGGGGTCGTCACTTACGAAAGAGACAGCTGGCGCCCGGTGTAGGTAGATGACAGGGATGAGATATCACTGTCAGTATCGACATCTGATCGGCCACTGGCCTTCAATACCGTGGCACTCTCTGATTTCCTGAGACTCTCGATGGCACTGGAATAAGATTCCGATTTGAGCGTGACCTCATTCTCCGCCTCCCATGCATGATAGTCTCCTCTGCACTCCAAATCCTCCTGCATACAATCTGCTGATACAGGCACTTTGTCGTGCTCAACACAATCATTCAGAGTACTGGATAATGTCAGTGGGGCGAAGGCGGTGTAGGAGCCACGTACGAGGAGCCTTGAGTAGGTAGATCTGTGCCTACAATGTGACCACAGGATTCGCCTTTCAGGTCAGTTACCGAGGAAGAAGTCTGGCCCATCATCCACGTGCCTTCGGGTAAAGACGAGTTGTTAGGATCATTGGATGCTAGGCTCGACTTCTGAGTGTTCTCAACAGCTCTGCACGGTGCTGGTGCTGGTGTCCCGATGGTCTCCGCAGGTGCCAAGGAAACTCGGACCAGCACAGAGGAATCTACTTCTTCACGACTCCTGTTGAGCTTATCGTCAATAACTCGCTCGTTGCTAAAGGATAAGTTTGGGACTGACTGTCTATGAATGTGCCCTTCACTGCTCTCAGTCGAATCATGGCCAGATATCTGGACGGAACTCTTTGAAACTGTGTCGACGTCAGAAGACCAGTGTTCATATCTAGATTCAATATGATTGGCTCCCGAGTCCCGCAGAACATCCAGTTCACTGAAAGAGGTTTATTGGAGGGCAAAGGACTCAGAGGGTGTCACGTACGAAGGAGATATTTTGGACCCAGGATTGATAGAGGACGGGGACAAGATGGTACCGTCGACGCCCTCATTCATCTGCCTATCATCGTTCAATATCACACACTTCGACGTATATCCTTCAACGATCCTGACAGTGTGGGAACAGGGTGTGATGTTCGACTTAACCTCGCTTTCCGTCCCTTTTTCTTGATGGTCCTCTCTGCCCTCCACGGTTTGGCGCTTATGATCTATGGATACGTCCTCCTCCCCACTCTCAAGCTTCGGAGTACTAGACAATTGTAAGTTGAGGGTAAACACAGCGTGAGAGTGACGTACGAGGAGACTTCGCTAGGCCTGTACCCAGATACGTCTTGACTGTAGGGTTCCTCGTGTCTGTCAGCAGTCAGAGGGAGACTCTCGGCTATCGTCAATGTACTTTCATTGGAAGATGAGTTTCGAACATCGTGTGATACCTGGACTTGACTCCTGTATGTTCTCGATCGCGATGACGTTGGATCGTGTTGGAGTTGATTTATCGTTTTCCTCGAGTGCTACGGACGCACAGACGAGGACAGATGACTCTGCGCACTCGCGATGGAGCTTTTCATCCGTAGCTGGGCTATCGTTACATGAAATTGTCTGGGAAGACTGCCGTCCTAAAGGAGGCGAGCTTGGAGTACATGTGACAGTCGACAACGGTACGCATTCTTCTGCTACCAGGGTTTCGCGACAGGGAACGGCCGATGTTAACTCCCCCATGCTTGTGGTTTGGGATACTGCAGGAATTGCGACCCGATTTTCGTCTATAGATGGCGGCGAATCTGAATCGCTTCGTGCCAAAGGCAGACAGACTTGGGCAGATAAGGTTGTTTCGGGCTCGTCACAACAAGAGAACGACTGGGCTCGTTGACACCCTTCACTCTCAATCGAACGATCATGGCTCGAGGTCTGCATAAGGGCAATTGAAGTTGTGTCGACCTCGGAAGACCGGTGCTCGCATCTGGGCTGTATTAAATGGGCTCCCGCACCCTGTGAGATACCCGGATCACTGGAAGAGGTTCATCTCAGTATCAGGCGTTCAAATGGTGTATCACTTACGAAGGAGGCAGCGTAGTCATTGGGGACGAAGGTAACGCAGGGACATCGATGTCCTCATCCATTTTCCTATCAACTTTCAGTACCACAGTCTCCGACGTGGATCGTTCGACAATCTCGACAGAATGAGAATGTGTTGTCGAGTTGAGCTGAAACTCGCTTTCCGTCTCCATGTCATGACGGCCGCCTCCGTTCTCCACAGTCTGGTGCGTACATTCTGCCTGTTCGTTGTTGTCAAGTTTCGGAGCACTGGATAACCTTAGTCGAGGACAAAAATAAACAGCATAGGGACTACATACGAGAAGCGTTGACAAGGATGATCTGTCGCCACATCTTGGCCACAGGGTCCTCCTTGTACAGTAACTAGAGAACTCTGAACTCTATTCTCAATCGAGCAATGACTTGAGGTCTGCACAAGAGTCGTTGAAGCTACATTGATATCTGAGGATTGGTGCTCGCATGCAGACTGGATGTGATTGATTCCCGCATCCTGTGGAACGCCCGGTTCACTGAAAATGGTGTATTGTGAGAGTTTAAACTCGAACGGGGTCGTCACTTACGAAAGAGACAGCTGGCGTCCAGTGCAAGTAGATGGCAGGGATGAGATATCGCTGTCAGTATCGAGATCTGATTGGCCACTGGCCTTCGATACCGTGGCACTGGAATAAGATTCCGATTTGAGTGTAACCTCATTCCCTGCCTCCTGCGCATGATAGTCTCCTCTGCACTCCAAATCCTGCCTGCATACAATCTGCTGATACAGGCACTTTATCGTGCTCAACACAATCATTCGGAGTACTGAATAATGTCAGTGGGGTAAAGACGGCGTAAGAGCTACGTACGAGAAGCCTTGAGTAGGTAGATCTGTGCCTACAATGTGACCGCTGGATTCGCCTTTCAGGTCAGTTACTGAGGAAGAAGTCTGGCCCATCATGTTTTCGGGCAGAGACGAGTTGCTAAGATCATTGGATGCTGGACTCGACTCCTGCGTATTCTCGACAGCTCTGCACGGTGCCGGTGCCGGTGCTCCAATAGTCTCTGCAGGTGCCAAGGACACTGGAACTAGCACAGAGGAGTCTACTTCTTCACGACTCCTATTGAGCTTATTATTAGTAACTCGCTCATTGCTAAAGGATAATTTTGGAACTAACTGTTTTTGAATGTGCCCTTCATTACTCTCAGTCGAATCATGGCTAGATATCTGGATGGAGCTCTTTGAAACTGTGTCGACGTCAGAAGACCGGTGTTCGTATCTAGATTCAATATGACTGGTTTCTGAGTCCTGCGGAACATTCGGTTCACTGAAAGAGGTTTACTGGAAGGTAAAGAACTCAAAAGGCGTCACGTACGAAGGAGACACTTTGGACCCAGGATTGATGGAGGACGGGGACAACACGGTACCGTCGACGCCCTCATTCACCCGTCTATCATTGTTCAATATCGTGGACTTCGACGAGTGTCCTTCGACGATCTTGACTAGTATGGGAATAGGATGTGAGGTTTGACTTAACCTCGCTTTCCGTCCCTTCTTCATGATGGTCGTCTCTGCCCTCCACAGTTTGGCGCTTACGATCTACGGATACATCCTCCTCCCCACTCTCAAGCTTCAGAGTACTAGACAATCGTAAGTTGAGGGTAAACACAGTGCGGGAAAGACGTACGATGAGATTTCGCTATGTTTGTCCCTGACTACGTCTTGACCATAGGGTTCCTCGTGTCTGTCAGCAGTCGGAGGGAGGCTCTTAGCTGTCATCGGTGTACTTTTATTGAGGGATGGGGTTTGAAGATCGTGTGATACTGGACTTGACTTCTGTGTATCCTCGACCGCGATGACGCTGGATCGTGTTGGAGTTGAATTATCGTTTTCCTCGAGTGCCACGGACGCACAGACGAGGACAGATGAGTCTGCGCACTCGCGATGCCCATAGATCTTGTCATCGGTAGCTGAGCTGTCGCTACATGAGATTGTTTGCGTAGACTCCCGTCGTAAAGGAGGCGAGCTCGGAGTACATATGACAGTCAACAACGGTACACAGTCTTCAGCTACCACGGTTTCGTGACAGGGAACGACCGATGTTAACTCCCCCGTGCTTGTGGTTTGGGATACTGCAGTATCTGCGACTCGATGTTCTTGAATGAGCTCTCGTTCGAGGGCGCTCTCCTGCACTGCGACATGACTGTGCCCCTGTCCGCTGTCTCCGGTTAGTTGAGACACAGAAATAGTATGTGGCACAGGGTGAGGCGGAAGCTTGACTTCACCCGTCGCGATCCCAGCGTTCAGCGGGTTGATGGTGATCGGCGCGGGAAGCTCACTGGCTACTGTATCGCATTCAGCATCATCACAAGTTTGCGCTTCGATGCCTAAGGTTGTTCGGGAGACAAGCTGCCAATGCTCAGAGTCACATACATGCTCCGAGTCACAGTCAGACATATGCTTCGAGGCGGCCGTGTTTCCGTCCTCGGAGGACGTCTCTGTAAGACTCTCGGGCACGCCATGGCGTGAACACTGAGTCGAACGTAGATCAACGTCCATATGATCACCAACGAGAGAGCTCTGAGCTGGGGGTGAATCGGTGGATGGAAATTTAGGGGATTGCGGAACATGACTTGGGCTATCCTTTGACTGATATTTCTGGTGCTGCGCACCATGTTGCAATACGTGCGCCTGGGCAACAGGACGTGTCCGCTGATCATACTGATCGACATGCCCGAAATCGTCTAAACTGGCAGATATGCCGATCGTGTCTGTGGCAGGGTGGACGGGACAGTTGACTAGTTTTGACTGAGAATTGTTCGTGTATTTGACGTCATCAGGGGTGCAGAGACATAACACAGGGCTTCCTGGGGTGCCTGCCCGAACACCGCGAGATAAAACAGCAGATGGTTGAGGCAGTGACGAATCACTCGACATTTTGTGTGAGGAAGGTGAGTAATGCGCGGGGGCAAACTGAGAGTTGTCCTTCGGTGAGGGATTAGAAGGTTTGGTAGATCGAGAATCAGTAACTTTGCTTGCCAAAGAGTGGCTCGTTGCTGAATTCGACGATAACTGGTTTGTGTGGTGATTTACAGACGTGGAAGCAGTGATACTGGTATTTGGATATCTCCGAAGCGGTAAGACATCATGGACAGAACCAGCATGCACTGATTGAGCTGGAGGTTCAGGCGGTGGACTGCTATATTTGCTCCAGTCATCGACATTCGCCACCTCGCGCAACCCCGTGATTTCGGATCGACTGAACAAACCGACTGGAGTGCCTCGCTCACTTGCGGAGTATTCGACAGCGCTAACCATGCTGTGAAGGTTCCTCATTAGAAGCGCCTCTCAGTTGTCACTGTCAACTCACGTAGGGAGCCTGTAAGATTCTTGGCTGGCGCAATCGAGATGGATTTGAGGTTTCGATGACGCTACCATACTTGGGTGGGACGCCGGCGCATACTCAGGCCTGTGAGTGGCGGATGCAATGGTAGTAACACCAACGGTCTGTGCAATGTCGCACCGAAAAGTACCCAGTTCCGCCCTGGCATCAAAACTTGAAGTTCTTGCCCGGGGAGGGAGTGATCGTGACCGCTCCGTTAACTCAAGAGGAGATTTCAAGGGAACGAGAGTATCATGGGCTTTCCATATGTTGACGTCTAAAGATTCGTTTGACGAAGGGCCATATCTAGAGTTGTTGCGAGCAATTGGCCGGGTCCTGGTATACGATGCGACGACGGCGGGGGGGTCAGAGTTGGAATCGTGAGTTGCCGAACGCTGGTTGTTATCAGTCCTGTTGTAACTACCTGCGAGATTATAGGTGTTTTCAGGAATATCCTGATGATACATGAGAGCCGGTGTAAGATCGTAGTTGATGTTATATTTTGTAACCACGGTGTCCTGGCGCATAAATCCTGTCCCAGAAGAATGCGAGATCTCCCAACTCAGCTGTCCAGCGCATACGAGTACATCATACCGGGTCACCTAGGTCGTACGCTCAGCAAAACTACGACCTCAAAGGTTGTGGTTACTACCGTTATATCCAAACTTCCGTAGCTAATTATAGCGCCACTAGTGAGCTGAGGGCCAGCCTTGCCTAGGACTGTTTCGGGTGATACCAATAAGCAAATCAGTGCCTGATAGAGTTGACTTACAAAATGTTCCCTGCATTCGTAGGTCGCAAATGATAGTGTAATTACATGAGAGGACTCACTTCTAGATAAGCTCGGGCAATGAAAAGAGGACCATGACTATCCGAGGCAAATGGAACAGCGTGAGGCGGAATAACGTTGTCTCGGACTTCAACCTGTGTCATCGTTAATGTTGTCCACCCGATAGAAAGTAGAGGAACACTCGCCCAAACCAGAGGCAGTAATGAAGCTTCCTTGTCACCATCTGATCTGGCATCGATTGTTTGGGATACCAGCTGGTTTTTCAATTTCGGTCGGTGCTGCGAGCCAGGTCTGCCAGGGAACTCGGAAGAACGGTCAATATCATTCCCCTTGCGAAATGTGGGAAAGGTCTGGCGATTTGAATGCAACATTTCGAATGGATGTGATGCAGCGATCGTGGGTACAGAATCTTTGAACTGCGAGTTGATATAGCATTTTAAAGTGCAAAGTAACTTGAGCTCCGTCCGTACGGTGTAAGACCAAACATCAGATCAGATCGTTCGAGATGTTGTATGTCACAAGCCATTGCATTACGCCTGATAGCTGATTAGACACATTTTACTCAAGAGGTAGAAGATGGACTACTAGATCGGTAAAACAAACTCGGAACTTATATGGTTGCGGAAGTTAAGACCCAGTTGGCTGGAGATCCAACACCTCGTTGCAAAGTGGGTTCGGGGTGAGGTCCTAATCTTGCGCGGTCAGACCTTGATAGAAGGGAGAAATATGTTACTTCTGTATCGTGAGGTTCAGGGAATTCGAACTAAACAATATATACGCACCCGAGACGGAAAACCAAAGCGCGACGCATAACAATACTCTGTTTCCGTGAACCCAAGTGTCAGTGGCAGTCGGTTGTTAATTTGCCGTTCAAGTTGATTCGACTCGATTTTGAAATGACGACTCGTTTGATCCAAGTTCTGAACCTTGTAAAGTACAGCGTAGCTTGAAGCTTCAGGCTTGCGCCCAGCTGGTGATGCCCGTTGGTGTATTATGTAATTTAACACTTGATTCTAACCCTTTCGCAACCACGGCCACTGCCTCATTGCAAAGTTAGAGGGTTCCTGCCAGGAGGCCTGAGACAGACACTTCGATCCATGATGAAACATAAACGTTTAAAATATCCGACTTCAACCCTACAACAATCCCACGTGTACTGGCAGTGATCGTCGATTCGGAGGGATAGGTTGAAGACTTGAAGCAGTCGTGGCAATTTGCAAGTTGTTGTTGATGACATTAACCAGGCAGCGCACCACCAATGCATCAGTCAAAAAAAGGTATCTGGTGCAGCCATGCCCTCGCCCGAAATCCGACACTTCTAACACGCCACCAGCGGCGACAACCAGTATCGTTGGAAGAAGCCACCCCAATAGGTGTTCATGCCGCAACTAGCAGACCCCTTCTCACGCGAGATGCTCTTTTCAGTGTGAATTGCCTGCCTTGCGAGCCTCGCCTGCAGGTCCTCCCGCATTTATATCGCACTTGATAATAATTCCTGCTTCCCCTTGCTGACTTTGTGTCTCCGTTCCGAGACTATCTCTTGGACCGCACGTGATACTATATCATATTGTTGGTACACCCTCAATGTGGTTTCCGTCACACATAGATCTTACACGTTCCCGTACTTGAGTTGGCTCATCGAGTCGTAATGGACCACGGGAGTCGCAGCCTCGAGGAAGGAGTATCATACCTCTAATGTCAGACACACGTTGAACTCACGAACCGAACCGTCTCAAATGGGATGCTAATCTCGCCAGAACAGTCTTAGATCAAATATCTGCTCCTCTTCGTGTGAAGCTGTACACTTTAAATGCCGCAGGAAATGCGACCAAGGCTTCCGCCTATTTCTGAGCACATCCAAATCCGAGCGACTGTTAAGAATTGGCAATGTCACGGAGTTCATTTGTACTTGTTGAATTCCTTCGAAGCCATCGCATCCAGCAGGGGTATGAGGTACTAGTGAGATTTACAGTAACATTAGACATAGATATTACAATACAAGATAGTCCGTGAACGCATTGAAATGTAATCACCATAAGTCATATTCCCGATCAACCGAAGCTCTGCACTCGTCACAGATCATATCAGGATAATCACTCCTTCGCGTGCACAAAGCTTGCAAATGCTTCGGCCGCATCTGCAACATGATTTCTCGTCAATATCAGCGCATGTCTCGCACAGGAGACCTCCGCAGCTCTGGCACTCGAATATGGTGTGCTTATTTTCTATGCTCTTTCCGTCCTTCATGCAGTCGCGACAGGGTTCCACATGATCGCATGCATCGCAAGCCTCAATGTACGAGCACGATAAACAGAAGCGTCGGTGGCACCCAGGGCATGTGAGGATCCTACTAGCGGAAGAAGCCTGCGACTCGCAACCACCGCAAGTCCAGTATTGACCACAGGGACAGACGAAGCTATCCTGTGTAATGCAATCAGGGCATGTTGTGGTGCCCACCCGAGACCAACGAGTAATGGAGCAGCAATGCCCACTCTCTTACAAACATGTAATTTACTCGCCTGGACTCAATCTCGATCTTCTCTCTCTTGCTCGAGGCGACGGGCTGCCTCGCGGTTTCGTGCTGCTTTCGCCTCCCATCTGCCTCGGACAATCCTCCTTACGTATTCCCTGAGTTCTCCTAGGAGAGATACGATCTCCTGGGGTACCGGGAAACGATAGTCCAGAGAGCACCCATGGTGATTAGGTTAATCATGAAATGGGTGTTCATGACCGGCTGATCTGGTTCGCCTTCTCTGAGATTGAGGATGATGATTGACGGCTCACGTCCAGACTCCTCTACCTGGTAGGATAGGCTTAACAAGTGCCACCAGTTGTCCACCGTGAATGGTGGTGGGCGTTCAGGATCGACAGTAGAATAGATCCATTGCATAACTTGAATGACCAGAGGCAGCATAGAATGGCCGGACATCGGGTTACCAAAGATGATTCTGTGCCAATCAGCCATGTTGGATGTGCGCAAATGAACGAGCTGCATAGTTTCAATCAACCTAGTCCCCTAAAACAATGCTGAGCCACTCAGTACTTCACTCACCAACAACAAAACCAAAACTCACTTTGTAGACGGTTTTCATATCTAATAGACAAATAGTACTAGTGACTTGTTCGGGTGCTTGGAAGGTGAACAGTTGTACTACGTAATTGCCCTCGCGAACTGAGGAGGATTGTGCGATGTGTAGAGGACAATTGGAGAGCGGCTTGCTTGTGGGCAAATGGGAGGCCTACGTTGGGGTCTGTGCTCACTGGCATCCAGTCGGCGCTATGAGGTGCGTTGCATTGAAGAGGACCAAAAAAAGTGAATGAGGGTGTGCGAACAATCTCCGCGCATCAGTGCCTGGAGGAAGAAGTACATGACTTAGCGTTCGGTTCCAATTTTCAACAAACTCGTCGATGGACAAAACAGATCAGCCTGAACAACTTGAAGTTCAAGTTCAACATCACCAAACCTCAGAGACACGCTTATCGCCAGATGATGTCCGTAGGTGTTACGAAATAATATGTGCCACGAATAAGAAACTGGAATTGGAGCTTGAGAAGGTCGGTCCAAGAGGACGGGAGGATTATGACAGGGACCTGCGAGGATGGAAGATAGAGGCGCAGAAACTCGGCAACAGTAAACCTAGGACGAGGAAGATGGCATTTATTGGAAGGACTGGAGCGGGAAAAAGCACAGCCATGAATGCGATACTAGGCGCGCCTGTATTATCTACACGAGCTGACGTGAGTGCACATCACTTAGCCGCCGAGCTTCAAACTAATTTTAACTGACATCTAGGGGTCAGGAACCAATTCGCTGTCTTGCCCATTTTGATTCTGACGCTCTTATGCAGAGCATGCACATCCGTTCAGACGGAAGTATTCTACGAAGACTTACCTCCTTCAACTTGGAGAGCAAGCATCAAATTCGTTGGAAAAGATGAATGGAAAAAAGTGAGCACTTTAAATATTCCTGCGCAGTGAAAATCATATATTCCACAGACTCTATCGAACATGCTGGACGACTTGTACGTGTGATTCGCTGAGAAGATTGTTTCCGTGTTAAATAATGTGACCATTGTGATTCACGCAGGGATGTATATGTACAACTTGGAGGTGGCACTTCGAACATTGGGCATGACATTCACGATGATAGTGGGCCTGCGATGGCTGCATGGGGGACATTGAAAGAGGAAAGTCCCAGTTCTTATTTCGGTACAATTACATGGGTGCTGAATCCTGGTGTGGCATGTCGCTGCCGGTACCACAGGTGTATCCTCAGTAAGTTCAACTTCGACTTGAATCGCTTTCATTCAAGTCGTCTAATTCCCGCTGCAGCCTTCGCGCACTATCATTTCCGCCGCCCCGACAAGATATACGTGCACTTCTTGAGCATGACCTCGTAGCAACTAAGCTCGGAACCGAAGTTCAGCAGAATGGTGTAGGCTTTGATAATCTAGAGTTGCAGGAAAGTAGAAATCGACCATCATATTTTATTAGCAATGATGTTCAAACCATGCACAGCTACGACCGTATATGACTTCGTACACATCGATTGTGGAGGGGGAGTCGGTGCGTCGCAATTTTTAATGTCGATGATTCTGCTGACTAGATCTGAGGTCCTCCAGTTAGCGTGGCATCTAGTAGATAGGTATAAATCTAAGTACTTACTACCTGCTTGCTTTCTCACTTTTGCTTTTAGTATTCGTATCTATGGAGCATTTGAGGTACTTTCATCTAGTGCAGTCACACTCGTGGATGTGCCTGGTTTTGGAGATGCAAACAAAGCGAGGTTCGATAACAGTATGAATATCGTCAAGATTTCGTCGCATTGACAGTATCTTTGCAGAACCAAGCGGACTGAGGAATGCCTCAAAACTGCTGAAGTTGTTATATTAGGTTCGCTATTTGAGAGGGGTGCCTTGTCTCACTACTAATTATCTGCATCAGTGGCAGACATCAAGCGGGCAGCTGATGACCAGGTGAAATGCCAGTCTGACTTAATTTGACTTGACTTGACTGTTAATTACATTGTTAGGCGATGCGCGACTACTTTATGAAGTTGTAAGTTCCAAACAGCTGTCTAGAACTTCCTGTGTGCCCACGCATTATAGTTTACGCCAAATGATTCGTATAGACGGAAGCATGGAGTCACTTATGATTGTGCTCACTGGCGCGGATGTAAGTCACTGTTATTATTTCTTTGGTCCATCTACTTCACATATTTAGGTGCGAATCGACGAGGACCAGCTGCATCATCTTGATTCAACACAACGCCACAAAATCCAGCAAATGTGTCAGGTGCGTGAGCTAGGTTTCAAGTTAGTACTGACTTCATGTTTTTTATGCATGTAATAGGAGATTGACCGACTTAGTGACAACCTAGAAGAGCAACAAATACAGGCAGAGATGCTCCATACTGAGCTCGACAATAATCGAAGGGACAATACAGTGGCACCATTGTCAGAAATCGCGCAGCGCATGCAGTGCAACACAGTGATGGTTTGATTTATATTTACATATCACGCATCAACATATCTAACTTAATTTTCAACACAGAAAGATCAGACATACAAACAACTGCGATTAACAATCGCAGCCAAAGATGCGTATGTTGCAGTATGTAATCTATGTATAGTGCCCTGAAAACTGCTGACTGACATGTGTTTGTGCAGCATCAACGTTCTTCTCATGTACGAAATATCTTTCTGCATCTTTACCATTGCGTGTACCGCAATATTATTCAGGTATCTCGAGTAACATTTGAAGTATCACAGTGAACCCATTTTGATTAGAACTCCACCCATGAACCCCCTCCACTACCCCTGTTTTGTATTGGAAGCATGGATTTCAATCAACTTATGGGGGTGAATAGACGTCACAGAGCCCCTTTGGTTTTTACCACTCCTGAAGATGTACATCATGCTTTTGAACACGAAAGACCATCACTAATGATGTTTGTAGACTGGTATCCCAAAATTGCGTCAACACATTCATGATTTTGGTTGCAGGAATGCACTTTCCGATATCAAGGCATGCGTGCATAGCTCCACCTTGCTATGGGAAGAAATCGAGAGCTTCTTCCTTTCTGCAAGACAAGATTTGAGGCTCATGGCCTATGAGAATGTGGCAAGAGGCTTGGCAGAAGGCCTCAAAGATGTATGTCACTCGATGTCACTTAATGGTGTGAACATAATTGACCACAAAAGACTGTTGACGAGATTCGCAAGGATTCAGGAGGCAAGATGGACAATATTATCAATGAGCTGGAGAATGCTCTCAAAATTCAAGCGGAGCAGGTATGCCTCCTGTTCCTCATGCGCAAGGTAATACGAAGAAAATTTTGATTGCATTATAGGCAGCCAAGCGCAGTATCAAGACTATCAAGACACTCGGAGAAGACTACAGATGGCACAGCTACCGTGCACTCATGCGCCGAGAGGGTGAATGGGGATCCGTAGATCTCAATGAAAACCTTGTGCAGGGAATGTTGGACGGCGCTGTATCAAGGTCTGTCATTTTGCAGCACGGGACATGTCATCTGAATAATCAGTAAAGTTTGTGGCACAGCTTTTTCACTGACTTTATCCGGTCCAAACTACAGTCGCTCGCTGCGGTAAGCACCATTATCTAGCATGATGTATGATTTATTCACTTGATTCTAGGCAATATCAAATAAGGCGGATACGGCCATCCTATCAATTAGTACGTGCTCATCACAGAAATAAGGTAGTTCTCATCAAGCCTTCACAGAAAACCGAGCCCAACGAATGGCAACGATTGCACCACGTATCAACAATGCATGCAAGCTTATTCATCCTTCGGACATGATAAAACCTGCAAGAGAGACATATTTGTCAGCCATTTTAGCGATGCAAAAGTGAGGTCGTATTTTGACAATCAACCGTTTACATATCAGCTGTTTTGTTGTAGAGAGTTCTGTGGAACATTCAAGGGCCTGCTTCGTGAGGAGCTGGAGGACAATTACCATGCCATGGCAAGTGAGTCTGGTCCGGGAATGTTCCAACGCATGAAGGTGGGCATAGTCATTGGTAACTTCTTGTGAAGATCACCAAAAATATCGTCAGGATCGAAATGAGAAGCAGTTCAGTCAAAGAAATGCTCAGGAGCTATATTCCAGACTTGTCGATCAGGCCATGACAGCAATCCGCATGGCGCGGAACAAGGGTGAGACAGCGCTTGACGAGGCACTGGGCCGATTGTATTCGAGCATTGATCGCTCTCTTGTTTGTACGTCGCACCACCTTTACACTGACAAAGTGCTTGCTACTGATTCCTGTGTCAGGCATGCAGGGAAACGATCAAATATGCAAAGTCAAACGGAGAAATATGCAAAGATTTCTTGAAGAAGAGTGCAGCAGGCCACTCGCACAGGTGATGACCATCACCGGTCAGGATATGCCAAGTGTTACACTGAAATTTGGAACTCGCACAATGCGCTCCATAACTCCTCAAGATCTCCACCAATGTACTATTATATTTCTTCATTTGTAAGGTCATATGCAAAACATGTTCCGCTAACTAGAATAAAGATTCTCTGCGACTCATACCAGAAATTAACTGACTGGCACAATGTCAGATAACTACTGTTCGCCCCGAGAGACCAGGTACAAGGCCAACATGCACAGGACGGCATGCAACCGCCTGTCGAACATATGAGTCACAATTACTGAAGTGTTTTCAGAATATCCTGGAGAAATAGGCGGCTTTAAGTTTGCATAGCAGCCAGAGAATGCAAGGGCGGGTGAGAATGTAAGGACGGGTGAGCATGTGAGGATGGGTGGGGAGTGGTATGCGATGACTGTGACGAGGTAAATGTCAATGGCATGGGCGGTGAAAAGGTCTGATGTCGGGCAGAGCTTGTTGATGACCAACATGTGCGCTCTTCCATGAATGCGGGAGGCGACACGCTGTGGGACGACATGTAAAGAGAATGCAGTGAGGACACCAATAGCGGTTGTGAGAACGGATGTGGGCTAAGCTGCTCGACATCGTATACAACAAGGAGAGTACAGTAGGAGAGCGCGTGGTTGATGGTACAGGAGGCAACCGCACGGTTGATGGGATAGGCGCCATGTGGGATGACTCCTCGGAGATTTTTCAGGTAACATTTGCAGATAGTGCGATCGTGGATACGGTTTCGTAGTTCCTGCGCTTACTCAGTTTGTAGGTGGTGTAGCCCATGCGTCAACACAGGGTCTTAATCCATGTCTCCATGATGTGAGATGTCCATTGGATACCATTGAGTTTCGTGCCACCTGAGGCAGCATAGAATGGCCAAACATTGGGTCATCAAAAATGATTCTGTGCCAATCGGCCATGTTGGACTTGGCTGATGCGGCATTCCATCATGAGTGGAGACCCTCATCGAACTGCATCGGAGTTTTAATTAGCCCATCCCCTGAAAAAAATGCTGCGCCACTCAGTGACTCAGGCCGCTGCGAGAGGACTTAGTATTACTGAGTAGCCAACAGTGGTTGAAATGTAGGATCATGCTCAAAGCTCGACACTTACTCTGCAAGTCTCTTTAGATCCAAGCGCTAGTCGCAGTAGGGGTGACTTGGCACTGACCGTCCTTCGTCAATTTGTAAGTATCGAATTTTCGGATTTCAATAAGCACGTTATCATAGGCACTGTCGTGGATGGGGAATTTGGTCTTTGACTTTGTCTCGTGCAATTGACGTCTGCTTGGTCGTGGAAAGCTGCCATATGCATTGTGCATTACACGAGGCCTTGCGCAATGCGGATGAGGGACTTCGATTAACGCCCAAATCCAATCTTCAACGAACCCACAGACATTGGACTCCTCGATGGACTTGGAAGAACCTGAATCCTGCAATTCGGAACGAAGGCTTCACGAATCTGTGATATGCAACTCACTACCACAAAACATTCAAACCTGTTATGATATTATTTGTCACACCAATAAGAAGCTGGAGCTGGAGCTGGAGATGGTTGGACGAGAGGATTATGACAAGGACCTGGGTTTCAGAAAATGGAAGGCAGAGGCAAAGAAACTCGGTAATAGTAAACCCCAGTTGAGGAAGCTTGCATTCATCGGAAGGACTGGAGTTGGCAAGAGCACTGCCATTAACGCGATATTAGGCGCGCCCGTATTATTAACGCGAGCTGACGTGAGTATTTTTTTTGATGTCATGGATGTTAATTGTCGAGCATCGAACCAATACTGACTCGGACAGGAGTTAGACATAAATTCACCATCTTACCCGTTCCATTTCTGACGCTTTTATTATGCAGAGCATGCACATCTGTTCAGACGGAAGTAATCTACGAAGCATTACCTCCATCAGCCTGGAAAGCGAGCATCAAATTCATTGGGAAGGATGAGTGGAAAAATGTGAGTATTCACGATGTTCTGTTGTACCAGACATGTGTCTGAATGCCGATATTCCACAGACTCTATCAAACATGCTGGACGACCTGTATGTGTGACTCCCTCAGAAAGATTTACTCCACATTGTCATTAAGCTGATCTTTGCATATAGAGAGGTATACAGGCATGGTACTACTCACGATGATAGCGGGCCTGCGATGGATGCATGGGAGACATTGAAAGAGGAAAGTCCCGATTGTTTTTTCTGTACTATTACCTGGGTGCTGATGATGCTGCGGGTACAGGTGTATCCTCAGTAAGTCGTGACTTCAGTCTCTTTCGCTGACTAATTCTTGCCGCAGCCTTCGCGCCATATCATTCCCCCCGCCTCATCAAGACATAAATGTGCTTCTTGAGCAGGAGGTTGTAGGATCTAAGCTCGGAACTGAGGAGCAGATGCATGGTGCAGGCTTTGATAATATAGAATTACAAGCAAGTTAGAATTGAATATCGCAGTCGATTATGCATCTAAAACATGCACAGCTTCGACCATATTTGACTTCGTACACAAACATTGTAGAGGGGGAGACAGTGCGTCACAAATTTTAAACCTGCAGATGACTATGCTGACTACTCGAGGTCCTGCAGCCGAAATCATCTGTCTGGCATCTAGTAGACAGGTAGCAATCTTCGCAAATACTGTGACCTACCTGGCTTCCTCGTGTTCTTTTTTTTTAGTGTTTGTATCTATGGAGCATTCGACGTACTTGCATCCCATGCAGTTTCGCTCGTAGATGTGCCTGGTTTTGGAGATGCGAATAAAACAAGGTTTGATCAGCGATGTTACATCTTCAGGATTTGTTACACTAACAGTAGCGCAGAACCAAGCGGACCGAGGAATACCTCAAAACCGCTGAGGTTGTTGTATTAGGTTCGCTATTCGAGAGGGGGCACTGTCTCTGGACTAATCATCTGTATTAGTTGCGGATATAAAACGAGCAGCTGATGACCAGGTAAACTTAACGAAAATACTGCCCTGACTTGACTAGTTAATTTCATTGTCAGGTCATGCGCGACTATCTTGCGAAATTGTAAGTCGCGAACAACTTTCTGTAACTGTATGCTCATACATTATAGCTTACGAAAGATGATCCGAATAGACGGAAGCATGGAATCACTTCTGATAATCCTTACCGGGACAGACGTGCGTCGTCGCTCTTGTTTCTTTGATCTATTTAGCTTACATAGTATTTACCAGGTACGAATCAATGAGGATCAGCTGCATTATCTTGATGCAAAGCAACGCCATGTGATCGAGGAAATGTGTCAGGTGCATAAGCTATGTTCAACCAAGTTAATACTAACGTGCCATTTATGCATGCTGTACTAGGCGATTGACAGACTAAACAACAGCCTAGAAAAGCTCGAGAATAGTTCCACTGACTGGAAAACTATTGCTACAATGCCTGATGATGTGGCTATTTACAAGGAGTTTATAGAGCGGCAACAGAGGGTTTGTACTATCCACTTACACTAAGCCCATCAATGGGTTGACCGAACTTCTACAATGCTGCAGAAAGAGGAGATAACTAGTCAATTGCGAACAGAGCAAGCTGCAAAGAACACATACATCGCAGTGTGTATACCTGTTCATGTTCTTATATCTACTCATTTGCATCATATCAGCATCAACGATCGGCTCGCGTACGAGAGGCCTTTCTCCAGCTCTACCGTCAAGTATACTACAACATTAGTAAACAGGTACTTCGATTAATTTTCAGAAGTGCATTGCAGTCAATCTTTCTTTGTGTTAGGACACTGCCAATGAACCCCCTCCACTACCCGTTTTTTGTGTTGGGAGCACAGATTTCAACCAACTTTTGGGAGCGGATGAACGATACAGAGCTCCTTTAGTGTTTACCGATCCCAAAGATGTATCAGATATGTTCCTTTTTGGCGAGACACTGTTGCTGATGATTTTTAGACTGGTATCCCGCAATTGTGTCGGCATATCCACGACTTTGGTCGTAGGAATACGTTTTCAGATATTGATGCATTTGTCCATAGGTGTACAGTGTTACATAAAGAAACCAACAGTTTCTTTTTTCGTTTAAAGCGAGATCCGAAGCTCACAGCCTATGAGGATGCAGCAAGAGGCCTGGTGGAACGTCTCAAGGATGTAAGTCGCACTATTGTAGCTTGATAACACGAACGTAACGCAAGTAAAAGACTGTACACATGACGCGGCAAACTTCAGAAGACAAGATCTACGAATACATGAACGAACTGGAGCAGGTTCTCCAAGTTGAAGCCAAGAATGTCTGTCTCACTCCTCACACGCACGAGCCAACGTTGATCAAGATTTGCCCGCATAGGCCGCCGAGCACAGTCTCGACATCATTGAGACACTCGGCAGCAACTACCGATATCAGACCTACCGCGCTATCATGAGCAGAGAGGGTGAATGGCGATCAACCGATCTAAACGAGGACCTCGTGGATGGCATGTTGGAGGGGACTGTATCAAGGTTCGTCATTTTGTATCAGGAGATATGATCATCTGAGTTGTCCGAAAAGTGTATGGCACAATTTTTTCAATGATTTCTTGAAATCAGAACTGGAGTCACTCATTGTGGTATGGACCATTCATTATGCAGCAGAATTTGTCACCTATTCACTTGGTTTTCAGGCGATTCATGATCACTGTGATGTGGCTATCCAATCAATTAGTATGCATGTATTCTATGATTGAGACGATATTGACCTTCATTACTTTGTAGAGGACGGAGCGAAACGCAAACCGAAAGAAAAAATCGCAATGCGCATTGAAAAAGAATGCAACGGCATCCTTCCACTGCATATGTTGAAACCTGCACACATGGACTATCTATTGGGTATTCACATGATGCAAAGGTGAGGCCTTTTTTGTCTTTCATCCACTTCACATATAACTGGTTCGCTACAGAAAATTTGGTGGGACATTCAAGGGACTTCTCCGCGATGAGCTTGAGGCGCATTACCGTGACGTTGCACGTGAGTCTGGCCCAGGAATGTTCCGGCGAATGAAGGTGGGTGCAACCATCCTGACTTTTCGCAAAGAATGTCGAGAATGTTGTCTCGTATCAGGATATGAATGAGAAGGAGTTCAGTCCACGGAATGCTCGACAGCTCTATGCGGGACTCGTTGATGAAGTCATGTCGGCTATCCGCACAGCAATAACTAACGGAGAAGAAGCACTCGACACAGCACTCACCCGGTTATATTCGCACCTCGAGCGCTCTTTCGTCTGTACGTTGTGCGCTACTTTCAGTCCAAAAAGCATCGGCTGATATCCACGTCAGACATTCAGAAAGATGATATAATGAGCAAGGATACACGAAAGAAGATGCGGATATTCCTTGAGGAAGAGTACAAAAAACCACTGGCAGAGTTGACAACCATCATAGATAGGTGTAAAGAGCGCAACACAACTCCGGTAGACTCGGAGGTGACGACTATCACAGATCAGGGTGTGTCCATGGTACAGTGAAGTTCGGAAAATGGTTGTCCTTCTCAAGACTTGGAATTTACCTTCCTCATGTATTATTACTGTAACCTTTGCTTGCAGTCAAGTTTCAACTCAACTGGGCCATATGCTATATACACGTATTCCGTTCCTGCAACAAGCATTCTATATCGCTCATATTAGCATAACTACCGACTTGGTGCAATCACGAGCTGGAGAAAAAGCTTTTCACGCAGTTTTTAAACAAAGTACTCCTACGTGCACAAATTCAGAAACGTATTAATTAACGTGCTCTCCGTGCTCTCCATTGTTACAAGTGCTAGTCTAGCCAAGCGCACGTCGTCAACGACTAGTTTTGTAACTACCTAAGCTACCTTGGCTACACCTTACAGAGTGGAATACAATATCGTACATATCGGTTCAAACATATGGAAGTATAGATAGCAATATCGGAGAACAGAGCTTTGGACAAGAAAGCATTTAGAACTTAAAGGATGACGTATAGAACTAATAAAGTGCGGATATGTGACTTGTGCGGTGCTTGGTACACCGGACACAAGCCCGGATTCTGTTGCGGTCTAGGTACTTATGCTGGTCCATTCAGAAGGCGGTGGATGGCATGGCCTGAAAGGGCAATGGTAAAGGCGTTACCCAGGGCTCTGGCATGCGGAAAGAGTTTTGCGATTGCAAGGACGGGTGAGGATGAGAGGTCGAGTGAGAATGCGAGGGTGGGTGAGAATGCGAGGGCGGGTGAGAATGCGAGGGTGGGTGAGAGTGCGAGGCGGTGAGCATGCGAGAGGGGGTGAGAGACAGCATGCAATGATTGTGACGAGGTGAATGTCAATGGCACGGGAGGTGAAAAGGTCTGATGTCGGGCAGAGTTCGTCGATGACCGGCGCGTGCGCTCCCCCATGAATGCGGGAGGTGACACGCTGTGGTGGGACAACATGTAAAGAGAATGCAGTGAGGACGCCGACGGCGGTTGTGAGAACGAATGTGGGGCTAAGCTGCTCGACATCGTATGCAACGAGGAGAGTACGGTAGGAGAGCGCGTGGTTGATGGTACAGGAGGCGACCGCATGGTTGATGGGATAGGCGCCATGTGGGATGACTCCTCTGGAGATTCTTGAGGTAATGTTTGCAGATGGTGCACTGCATCGTGGATACGGTTTCGTAGTTCCTGCGCTTGCTCGGGTTTGTAGGTATTGTAGCCCATGGGCCAGCACAGGGTCTTGATCCACGTCTCCATGATGTGGGGTGTCCATTGGACACCGTTGAGTCTCGTGCCGTGGCGCAACATGGCTACAATGTCAGTGGGGTCATCTTTCTTGTAGCGTACGAGCTTGAGAGCAACACCCCAAAACATGGTGACGCTAATGACAACGAGACCTTGCGATTGATAGACGGTGTTCATATCAATGTTGTTCGCCTGCTTGGAGTCGTGGTAGATGGGGTCGTATAACTGCCCTTGTGAGCTGAAGGAGGATCGTGAGATGTGTGGCGGGCAATCGTGGAGTGACTCACTTGTGGGCAAATGGGAGGGCTACATCAGGGTCTGCATTCATCCAGTCGGTGCTATGAGGTGCATGGATCGATAAATGCATTGTGTGAGATAAGGTAGAAGGATTCGCATACCCAATGTAAAACTTGGCGGCAACAGCGTTGATGCAACGCTGTAAGCGCTCTTCAGCGTCATAGACCCCTCGCTTCCGCCACTCATGCCCGAATGCACGCCGTATATAGTCAATATCTCTGGTAGTTCGTCGACGACTGGATGTGGAGAGGTTTGGGTGTAGGATCATCACTGCGCCACCATGGATGAATAGGCGGATTTGGCAACTGAACTCTTGAAAGACGAGTACAGAGAGTTCAGCGAGGAGGGTGCGGAGGAAATCTTTTGAGAGCTGAACCTCATTGTGTGACGACGGGGATGAGGACATGAGTGTGTGCTCCACGCAGTGAACGGAGCCTCGTGTTTATCACCAAAAGCTCCTTTTCAAGGATGGATGAATCCGCTTTGAACGTTAATCCTGTTGTCAACCCGGCACCGGTTATGGTCTGCTTGGATTTGAAACGGACGCTTACATACTTTCGAAACTGTCAGACTGGTCTGGTGTAGCAACACTGCTAAGTAGAAATTCAGTTTCGGTGAAGTTCGGCGGAGAAATCAACCTGTGCAAAGGTCCAAGTTACTCACCTACACGCCTCTGCCTCGTGTGAGTCCCACACAATATTGCCGAGAGCCAATGCCAGGAGATGGGAGCCTCGGGCAAGTTTGAACAAGGCCGCTGGTCACGGTCGGAGGCTAAGTTGTTCACACTGATTTAGTAGCACAGATCAACGAATGTCGTCGAATCCAAACTGGTCGCCTTTAAATCGCTGAAGTAGCTCTTTATAATAGGAAGGGACAAAGGGCGTCACATAGTATGCGGCGTGCGCCCATGGACTAAATCGGGTACATAGCACAATAAGCCGTCGGTCAACTGAAAACTTGGATTCGGACTTCCATCAATATAGCCTGTCAGTTGGCAGCGACCGCAAGGATAAGATCTTGATTCTTAACTTGTTTTATCAAGTTTCCGGCATCCCGTGTTGTTAGAGTTAAGTTCTATGCCACACCAGCATACTGCTGTAGTAGCATGGCAGACAGTTTCCTTGATTCCACAGCATCGAGTCCAGGTTCTATCAGAGCGATAGACGGCCACTCCGTGCATAGGATCACTTCTGGTCAGGTAGTCATCGACCTTCAAACAGCAGTGAAAGAACTTGTCGAAAACAGTCTTGACGCCCGTGCTACAAATATCGGTGCGCCACGTCCTCAAGTGACGCCTGTGCGCAGCTGATGTCTAGAAGAGGTCCGGTTTCTTAACTATGGGCTCAAGTCCATCGAAGTTATCGATAATGGATGCGGCATAGCCCCAAAGGATTATGACAGTGTCGGTAAGCCTCATCGTTTTGGTCTGTATGTTGTCACTTCATTGCCGCTCAGCCTTGAAGCACCACACATCCAAACTTGCTGCTTTTGAGGACCTCTCAACCGTCTTAACCTTTGGTTTTCGCGGCGAAGCCTTGTCCTCGCTGTGCGCTCTGAGTGATGGAGTCACCCTCACGACTGCTACTGCTAACGAGGCCCCGATGGGTACCATACTTGAAATGGACCGAACGGCAAACTTAGGAATTCCAATTCCAAGGTCGCAAGACAGGTATGTAAGACCTCTCGACATTTTTCCTAACATAATGGTGGCACTGTGCAGCGGGGAACTACAGTTGCTGTATCCTCTCTCTTCAAACCCTTGCCAGTACGCCGTAAGGAGCTCGAAAGAAACGCGAAGAGAGAGTTTGGCAAAGCACTAAACTTGCTGTATGCATATGCGCTGGTTCCGTGCGCAACCGAGAATAGAGGTGTGCGACTAGCTGTGAGCAATCAACTTGAGGGAGGGTACATATTCTACTTCCCTGTGCCCATAGAGACGCTCATCGCCCAACTAGCCGCAAAACCATACAGCTTAAAACCGACGGGTCGCCCTCCATTAAAGCGTCAGTCACAGCATTGTGGGGGTCCAAGGGGCTTGACAATGTTGTCGACCTCGATCTTTCATTTGATGTCCTAACGGAGAAAACTGTCCTACGGCGCCTTGACCAGGAGAGGTGCTTCCTTTTATCTCTTTTCAGCGATCAGCGGCACTGAATACAGCTTATTTCAGTGCCAGCGTTACCACAGTGAAAGTCCGTGGGCTCATCTCCAAGTTTGCTGTAGGCGCAGGCCGCACAGGAAGTGATCGCCAATTTTTTTATATCAATGGACGCCCCTGTAACCTTGGAAAGGTAGTGCAATTGTTGCTGTTGGCATCCACATCTAACTGAGAATATTTCCAGATCCAGAAGGCATTCAATGAGGTATACAGATCATTTAATGTTGGCCAGTACGCCTTTATCATAGCAGACTTCATTTTACCCACTCGTGAGTCCTTCACTCCCGCGGTATCACTCATCTTCACTGGAAGGCAGATGCCTGCGACGTCAACGTCAGTCCCGATAAACGAACCATCCTTCTCCATAGCGAGCAGAATCTAATTCAAGCTTTGAAGGTATACACGAGGTTTATCTGTATATTTGCTTTCTCATTATTGTCAAAGGCAGCTTTGGAAGTGGCTTTTACTTCGTCTCGCTCGACGTTTGATGTTGGCGCTCAATCATTACAGCAACCGACACTGCACCCATCATTTACGCCGAAAGCTTCGCTCATCCAAACAAAACACACGAGGACTACTAGTCGTTCTTCCCGTGCAGGTGACACTAACTCACAATTAGAACAAGACCAACGAGCCGAAAGGGAACATGAAGATGAGCACAACACGATGGGCGCCCCCCACTTACTTCTTGAACCCGAGCCGGAGCGGCCATCTCATGGCGAAACAGACCGGACAATAACGGAGTCGCCCTCTACACAGCCCGATAAGGTCGGCCTAGCTTCACAGCCATTGTTCTTTCCTGATCCCGATGTCCAAGAAGGCGGAGACAACGGACAAGCTACTCGCTTGGCCGATCATCACGGATCCTATCAAGAGGATGAGTCTGCTCGCGAACAAGTTGTCAGTGCCATTGATCGCATACGTGCATCACGGGAGCTCGATGAAACAAGAAAACGACCCGCGAGTCAAGCGCCATCGGCACAGACTATTTTAAGCACAAAGGGCGCTTCGTGGAACCGTGGACGGTCTGGGAGTGGTGATCATCAAGATGATGGTCCCAGGAAGAGACTGCGTTTGGCCGAACGGGATGGGAGAGCGAGTTTTAGGTTTACATTGAGCCAATATGCGAGGGCTGGAAGCAAGGTAGCCGAGACTTCTGGGGATCGAACTGAAGACCATCTTCACACGGTAGACTTGGATCCCCGACAGTGTTCATCCGAGGAGATTGATGATGCTGAAGAGCAGGACCAGTTGATGGAAGACGAAGAGGTGGTGAACGTAACTTCAAAGACTAGACCGAGACGGATCTCGAGCCGTACCAGCAAAACGGCCAAGGAGACTACTGTTTTACTCAACGATGCCATGGTTATTGAGGACCCAGGACCCACACGCCTCCCTCCGGCACGTGAGGAACACCCAGCCCCGGAACCAGACTCTCATGCGATAGATCAAGATATTTTTGACATTGTTGACCTCACAGAAGATGACGTCAGTATGACTCTGGTGGACACCGAAGTGGACGCACCAACTACTCATTCTCCAAAGGACCATCTCCCGCCAGTAACCTTGCGCTGTGATCTCAATAAGATCCGCCACACGTGGTTGCATCTTGAGCGGGCTAAGCCCGCTCTTTTAGAGCTCTCCAGCACAGCTTCCCGAGTTCGCGATGCACTAGACACGGCTAACGTGGAAAACGCGGAGGATAATGCCAAGGCTTCTGCTGCTCTTTCCCGGATCATATCGAAGACGGACTTCAACAAGATGCAGGTGGTTGGTCAGTTTAACTTGGGCTTCATTGTCATTCGGTGGCAGAAGTATGAGGAAGGGCTGGACGATTTGTTTGTAATTGATCAGCATGCAGCGGATGAGAAGTATAACTTTGAGACACTCCAGCAGACGACTGTTATTGAATCCCAGAGGCTTTTTAGGTGTGTGTTGTGCACTGGCACAATTGAACAACTGACTAAGGCACGATAAAGACCCGAGCCTCTGGAGTTGACGGCTGCAGATGAGATTCTAGCAGTAGAAAATATCGATGTTCTGAAGCAGAATGGTTTTGAAGTTGTCCGTAAGGGCGGTAACGACGACGATGACGAGGGCAGGCTGCATCTTGTAGCACAGCCAGTAAGCAAGGATACAGTCTTCGATATGAAAGGTATGATGTATATGTCATGAATTGATCAAGGGTCTACGCTAATAACTATGTACAGATCTCGAGGAGCTTATCCATCTCATGCATGACCGTCCGTAGGAACAATGGTAAGGTGTTCCAAGGCGCGGGCCATGTTTGCCATGCGGGCGTGCCGCAAAAGCGTGATGATAGGAAAAGCATTAAGCGCAAACAGGATGACTTCGGTATGCCGTGCAAGACAATTTAACAGAATCGTTTTGACCTGGACTGTATCATAGATCGTGCAGCACATGAGCACTATGGATCAGCCGTGGAACTGTCCGCATGGACGACCAACCATGCGTCATGTGTCAGACCTGACCTGCTTTGCAAGGTATGGTCCATCACCACGCACAATTGATTGGACTACGTTCGGACCTGGCGCATAGCTTGCCGCTGTCCACCTTTGACGTTCCTGATTTTGGATGTCTGCTCTCTCAAGCTTGATTTTTGATACCCCATCACCACCACTATCATGACTTATCTGACTGACATGCGGATCTATACATGTATCTTTGACGTCGGGTCGTATATCGTACGTGCGAAGGATTGTATATATAGTACGTGTGAATATACATGCACTTGTGCTTTCATTTTATGAACGATGCGCTTAGAATTCTCAAGCTCTTATCGATCTTATCTGCTAAGCTATAACTACAACCATGTCGATTCATTCTGTAAGACGCGAGTGTGCCAATCTCGCTTGGGACAACAGGTATAACGACTTGTTACTGCATAGACGCTGACCCATATCCAGCACAGCATTCCCCCTGCACTGCATGTTAAATCAGGCGATGAAATCACCTTTGATTGCATTGATGCATCGAATGGGCAGCTGACTGCAGAGTCAACAGTCGCAACTCTAGCGACGATAAACATGGCAGCATTCAATCCAGTGAACGGGCCTGTATTCGTGGATGGTGCACAGCCTGGTGATACACTCCAAGTTGACGTTCTACACATCAAGAATCCCGAATGGGGATGGACGGGGCTGTTCCCGGGATTCGGACTGCTTGCAGATGAGTTCCCGGAACCAGCGCTCAAGATCCTGGAAACTGGAACAGGAGGGCTTTGCATGGTTTGATGAGAAGAAGGGTATAAAGGTACCACTGAGGCCGTTTGCTGGGGAGATGGGGGTCGCGCAGAAGAAGAATGGCGCTCTTTCCACTATTCCGCCATATCATACGGGAGGTAATATCGATACAAAGCATATTACGGTAGGTTCAACTTTGTTTCTTCCGGTTGAGGTGGCGGGAGCACTGTTTAGCATTGGGGTGAGAGTACTCATTGCAAATATTATTAATGCGATTGGCTTACAAAATTATTATCATGTCATACTCAGGACGGTCATGCCGCACAGGGGGACGGAGGTGCGTGCCGCAGCCGGCGGCAACCCTGTGGCTTATTACTGATCCGGGGTAAAATCGCGTTACGTCAACAGAAGTATGCGGTATGTTAGACCGGCCTTAACATGAGCCCGATCAGAAAATTGACCTCGATCTACATACCCTTGTAGGATCGGCAATCGAGACACCCATGAGAGTCACAGTGCGGCTCTCAGTCAGAAAAGATAAGCCGTACACCAAGACACCACACTTCAGCACGGCTACTACTGATGCCGGGGAGTATTATTGCACCACCGGCATCGACTCGGGTATGAAATATACTTTTGATGATAAGATGGATTTATAATGATGTTTTTATTTTATTTTTCCGACTAGATATGAGGGAGGCGACGAGATCAGCTGTGAGGAACATGATTGCTTTTCTGGTTGCGGAATATGGGTTGGATAGGGTGGACGCGTATATTTTGTGTAGCGTCGCGGGAGATTTAAGGATGCATGAGGTGGTATGTGACAGGGCACGTTGGTCTTTGGACTGAAATACTAACTCTTATCAGGTGGACATGCCAAACTATGTGGTACGTGATGTTATATCAGCATTCTGATGAACACTGACAGCTCGCCAATCGTTGTTCCTCAGATTGGGATAATGATGCCCAGGTCTGTGCTCAGACCATCGAATAACGCCTGAAGGAAGGGAGCACGTTCTGCCAATAGCTTCGCCACATGTAGTACCCTGAATATCTGGAACGTGTCGAGCAAAGCTATGCACGTTATTAGTCTGGCTGACATAACCTGTCAGCGACGACGACGTTAGTGCGGCTCAACCGTGGGCTTCAACACTGCACTGGCACGACTCAGCGGTGAAACAATAGCGCTAATATGTGCATTGTCGGGCAACGTCGTACCAGGGGCACGGAGCAAGTTGCAACATCACGGTGAGGTCTGTCAGGCTGAGTAGTGTCTCAGAACATTGTTCCCCTCTGACAGATGTCGTGATGATGTAGCAGGTCAGAGGGAAGGTTTCCGTATGCACTAAGTTACAGTCAGAGCATTGTTCCGCATGAATAGTTACTCAGAGTTGTACGGACGCAACGCAACGCAATTTTAGATTACTCATCGAGGTACAAATCGGCGCATTATAACTTCCCCATTTGGTGTAGACTCCGAGAAGACGTCGGACCCTTGAAAAGGAAATATCTGGATTAGATCTTGGCAGGCCCAAATGATCTCAGGATTTAATGAGCTAGCGCTTGCCAGCGCCCGGTACTGCTCAACCACACCGCTTACTCTTTCTTTATTCTCTTCTTCCATGGCTCAAACAAAATTGCACTCTCGGTCCTCTGTCGACAGATTCTCTCCCATTAACTTGAAGCCTGTACAAGACGACGCCTGGTCAAATATATTCAAACCACCTCCCAACGAGACCGTCGATGAGAAACGAGAGCGCATCGCCCGCCAGCAGGAGGCTCAGCGTATCTCTCGGGAGATAGATGAAGGTATCTTGGAGTCAAAGAAGTTGTTCGACAAGAAGAAGAAAGCTATCAAGGTCTTGCTACTAGGTTTGCATATCCTGATAGTTCTCAAACAGCAGCACTAACGCCCCACATCACTGTCACCAGGACAAGCCGAGTCTGGGAAATCAACAATGTTACGAAGTGAGTATAATTTTGCATACCAGTTGAGTGCTTTAATCTTACGTATGACTACAGATTTCCAGCTCGCATTTTGTCCGACCTACTTCCATGGCGAAGCACTCATATGGAAGACCATCATACAACTCAACCTCATTGGGTGAGTAGCATCGTCTGCCCCAGGACCCAAACTGCTTCTTGTATCTGATACCAGGCAACCTTAGTTCTGTGAAAAAACTTCTCTCAATTGTCGAGGATGAGCTAGAAACATCAGGTCCACGTTCTCGATCTCCTACCGGATCTACATCATCACTTTCAGATCACCACCGACGTACACGAATGCGCCTTCTTCCCCTTCTGTCCATGGAAACGAATCTCGTGCGGCAGCTGCTCCCTGAACACTACGACCCCTCAAGAACGCCCGAGATCTGCGTGCGAGCTGGCAGCGGATGGAAAACCGTTTTAGAGAAAGTTACATTGGAACGACGGGGCCCTCCTACTGGTCAGCGTCGCCCAATGACGAATGATGGGCGGAGCAAGGATGATCCGACTGTGGTGCTTGCTGCGTCCAAGGATGATATCGTTTCCTTGTGGGAGGATGAAAGCGTTCGGGAGGTACTCAAGCGACGCGGGGTTCGATTAGAAGATTCTCCTGGGTTTTTTCTGACTGACACGGCACGGATCGCGACGGTGGATTACGAGCCTACCGAGGGTTTGTTACATTCCTGAGATTTGTGCTGTCCCTTGCCCTGATATCTTGTCATAGCGGATATCGTCCGAGCCAGATTACGGACATTTGGTGTAGAGGAACATCGCTTCCTACAAGATAATGGTGTGTGACCCTACTCTTTCCTTTCACAGTCCCCCTAATCCGCGTAAACAGGTTCAGAGTGGTACATTTATGATGTTGGTGGCAGTAGAAGTATGCGACCCCAGTGGGTACCCTACTTCGATGACGGTAAGTTTCGACGACATATCTGAAGGCACGGTTATTAACATTGCTTGTAGTTCAAGCTATTATTTTCCTTGCGCCTCTGTCATTCAACCAAGTCCTCGAAGAAGACCGACAGGTCAACCGACTAGAGGACTCAATATACCTCTGGAAAGAAGTTTGCTTGAATCCCCTCCTCGCGCGTGCGAACATCATCCTATTCCTCAACAAAATGGACATTCTACAGAAAACTCTCGCGGCGGGGATCAAAGTAGCAACCTACGTACCAAGTTATGGAGCTACACCTAATGACGTGGAAAACGTGACGAAATACTTTAAGGAAAAGTTCCGAGCTTATCATGTAAGTCGTCTCAGGCTTTGATATGAAATAAGCGCTGATTGGGACTTCATAGAAACGATTGTCCCCGAGACCACGGACGTTCTTCTGTCATGAGACATCTGCCATTGTGCGTTCATTTTTGGCAGTACTTCTTGTCCCGTGCTCACACTGGTTTACACAGGATACGAAGGCAACGCAGGCTGTATTGGCCGGCGTCCGTGATGGCATTCTGCGCCACCATCTTGAGGAGCTTAATGTCATCTGATTATCATCTGCATCCGCGCCCCTTTGTGAGCGCCTTATTCCTTATCGCTTTTGTTGTGATGTGCTGTGTTGTCATCTGGGCAGATCTATTATTATTATCTACCACATTATCTTGTTTTTCTTCTTCTTCATGGCCTAACTAATATATGTTGTACTGGGTAATTATAATATCACGTCTGATACGTGAAGCGTTGCTGTGCGGAATATAATACATCTCCACCGCAAGCTATGTGAATCCCAGTGTGTTGGTACGCGGATCATTGACGCTCACAACTGCACACGACCCTAGTCAGGTGAGGTGACACCCAAAACCATCGACCCTCATGGTGGACAGAAACTATTCGGAGATTCGGTACGAAGTTATAATACGGGCGAAGCGCTTTCCGGTTCCGACCTCGGTCTGCCCAGCGGAAAGGAGGAGGGTGAGCGGCCAGCGTGTGTTCGCTTGTATAACAGCAATGCTGAGTGATGCAAGGAGCGCTGTGACCATGTGGAGTCAAGGCACGAAAAAGGTTTAGACTTTATTGGAATAATGTCTTCTGGTGAGTGGACAAGTCGACAATGGCGTCGGCACTTCTTTCTCTCGCTCGCCGTTAACAGCTGCTCGACGCGACTACTGTTTCATTGAGCTTTTTCTTTTCCACAACCGCTTCTCGCTGTGCATCGTCGCCAGTACCAGTGTCGATCGATGCGGGCCCTTTGTACGGCAAGCTTAAGCGCATTGTCATAGCGCTCTGTATAGTTGTCCAGGCTGATTAGAGTGATCTTCCATGCTGGATTCGTCTCGATTAGCATGTTTGGCTTTCCGCTCGGGATGTGGCTTTTGAGTGGGGTCGCATCAGTGGTGTTAATGATGATCAGGGAATCAGAACTGATCATGTTCCACCAGAAACATCCTGCCATGTCGACACGACGGAGAGGTTGTCAGTATTTGAATGGGTATGTGATTACGCCCTTCCGATGCATGCAAGTGAAAAACCTTAATTTCGCCGGAACTAGGACTGCGCAGTGCGCCTTGCAAACTGACATGAGTGCTGATCAGGATGGGCCACCACTGGCACATATATTCTCATCGTATGTAGCCATGGTGTAACCTGGTATAACGCCCGCCTTGAACGTTTTATCGGTAGATCCAGGGACGTGAATGCGGCGTTGATGTTAATACTTGTGATCGCCTGGAGTTGAAGTTCCACGCCGGGCAGGGACGGGGTCTCCACGGACCTTTCCGAGATTTAGTCAGCATGTAGACTATTTTCACCATGTTCGTAGCCGGCATCACAGCTTTTCTGCCTTATTCTGGGCTTAGGCTGCTGGCCCTTGCTCCACCGCCATGCTCGAGATGTGTCGCAAGCGCAGCACATTGTTGCGGTCGCGAGAGGCCAAAAATGCAAGAATTGTTATGTATGAGAGAGCCAGTGTTATCTTAAATCGCGGGAGAAAGTTCACTAAGATTCCTTACTAGCACTACTGGTACGACTTGACAACTTCCCAGAGGTATCACCACGGACGCGAACTGATGTCCAAGGAGGTTATAACAAACGGGTATCTCTGTGGGCTCGAGGGTAGAATTATATCTTGTACGCTATGTGAATATCACAAGTGCTGTACACTGACGATGAGCCATATACAGATTTAGTGACTTGAAATGTATAAGTGTTGCTCAACTCTGCCTGAGTGCGCCTGTCCTTCCTCGTTGCCTTCCGCTCACACGTGCTGTAGCGTAGTATCCAAGACTGTCTCGTTGTCCAAAGATGCTTTGCAATATCAAAGCGAGTGTGGTTACCATCGTAGACGGTAGTAGTCTTGCTCCAAGTGCCAGTGAGACTGTAAGAGGGTTCCCAAGTCATGAAAAGCGCCGTAACGTCGAGGCACAAGAGGCCTTAGTAAGCGAACGTGCTAGGGACTCATAATTATCAATGATTCACAGTGGTTTTAGGTTGAATTATACACCCGCGACAGTTAAACGTTGAACTCGCTGCCGTCACAAACGTGCACTCAACATATCCTGCATCAGTAAAACACATGATGATTGATCTCAGAATAGGGCTAGTGGTAATGACAACAGGATGTACGTGGCTCATCCACCTTGCATGGGACACATTTAAATCGACCTATCTCAACATTACATAGCCTATTGTCAGATAAGCTCGCGAATCGAAAGTTATAATTGGTCTTGTATAGGCGCAGCTTATTGACGCCACTGAGACTGACAATCTGTCTCTGTCGCGGTCGCATTTTGACTGCAATCTTATCGCATCGCCCAAAAGTCTGTTTTGATTCCATGATTACACCGGAGCTCATCGTCCTTTGCTCAGATTGTTTTACGCATGGCGGGCAGTAGGGACCTAGGGTCCTCGCCTGTGGCATTCTTCTATCCCGCGCGTGTGCCAAATGATGTATGTCAAAAAACTTGACTTTTGTTTCCCACGGTATGTTGGGGGTAGATATGCTCCAATGGCTAGTTCTTGGACTCAATGCAAGGCTTTCTATCTCCATTGGTTTCTCCTCCCATGACCCATCGCTCTCAGAGAATTGTGGCGTAGCTTAGCATAGCGCGTCATAACGCCACAGACGATTACTGCGCCCACCGGCCTCCGGCCAAATGATTTAATACATAGGTGAAGACAAAGTTTTTATATTTAGGGACTAGGACTGCAAAAGAAAGTACCCAGGCATGTCATTCCCTATATGTACAAGTCAATTTCACTTACGGGCGCTTCGGAACATGACTTTTCCAAGATCAGGGCAACGACACATCCCAAGGTGCAAGCATGAAGATCATACTAGCCATGCATTGCGTGAGAGCATTAGGATGAATCGACCGCAGCACTGATTGAATTCTGCACTGCGACCCAAACAGCGATTCAATTTCAAAATTCAAAAGCATACCAGCTACTTGGTACGTCCCATCAACTCACATCAATCTGCCCACTTACACATGTACGTCACGATGTCCTGGTTAGTCGAACCCGTGCAACGCTGCGGTCCATTTGGTCCAGATAACACTCAAAATCTAAATGCCAACCAAATTGATACGTTGTATATTTAACTATCGCCACTCACATATTTATTGCAAGGCGTGCCAAATATTGATGAGATCAAGTTACTGCACCACCCGATCAAGCCACCATTGGTCCACCGTCAGCGATGACGGTACTGTGATCGGCGGTATTAGGCGATAGTGGCTGAAAGATTCGGCAAGTTTGTGAGATTCGACTTATGCGGATGTTTGTTGATGGGCGATACAGCAACGATGTGTCAGTGCGAGTGGTTCACTACTGTCGTTCATCGTCGATCAAACTACGGAGAGGGAATTATTCATGTTTGGAACGTCTAACGCGTACAGTGTCAAGCTTTTAGACGATGGTCAGGGGTGAACTTTTGACTGATTACTTATGCAGGACCCCAAAAGGTGGATGTTCAAGACTATGGCATTGGGCCCTGGAGATCTTTGAATTAGTCTCTAAAATTTAAATATGCCCCGCTTCCTAATTTGATTTCATAGTTTTCACTACTCACAACTTGTCCGCTACAAGCAAAGCTCATCTTTAACAGAATCCACACACTACACAATGAACCTGCTGGTGACACACCATTGCAACCACTGGCCTGCCTACTAGCCCCACTCAATTTCGCCCTTTTTATTTTTTCGCGAACGTGTATATTGCCGTGGGGAACAAGCAAGCTTGTGAGATATATTGGACTGTTGGGTATGTTGCTCGTCATTGTGTGGTTTCAATAATGCGAGCGCGGAATGTTACCTGATATTACTTGTCTCCAGTATAATCATGATCGTGCGTCATGGCGCATTTACGACGACGTCTCGGACACCAGCCACTGAAGCACCATCAGTCTGCAGCTAAATGGCCCGACGTCCTTGCCATTGCACAACTGAGAAAAGCACTCCAAGGTATGCGCTTTCGATGGGGAATATTCACTGTGATCCATCATCCATGACTGTAGCGCCGCTAATTTACGGCTCATTTCGCCCAGTTTATTTCTTGACGAGCGATATACTAAGTAACCAATGAGATGAAAAGGTCATTCGGACACTGCTCAAGGCCGATCAGATCCTGTTACAAGTATGTCCTACCAGGTCCTACTCCTCGTAGCAACGTTTGACGATTTTGCTTGATTATTGAGTTTCAGATGCATACACTCCATGGGTGCGGCTGCCACATCACTGCAAATGTGAAAATTGTGAATAAGTCTTCGTTGTTGATCGAAGTCCATCGAGCCGTACCCCACAGTGGCATACACCCGTACCAAAAAAAACTCGCGGAGTGCATCTGCCACCTCATGCGAATGATATTGGATCATCACCATCATCAATTTGCACGCTAATGCTACAAGAAGATTATGCCACGGGGCGTGAGCTGGCATCTATTTTGTCTCCAAGCATACGGCGATGAAAACACATGAAAGCGTTTGGCTGCATCATACACTAATTATGTATAAAAGCCAATCTACTCGTGTCGGCTCAGAAAACACCATCAATACTCAACTATGAAATTCACTTCACTCGCCACTATTATCGTATCTGCCGCAGCGATGGCTGGCGTAGCCATCGCATCGGAAGACCTGGTGATCACACCCATGAACCTATCCTGCGGCCCTAATGGTGAGCACTCTTGTGGCCCACGTGCACGCCTTGGACCGCGTACTTACGGTTATCCACAGATTCAGTGCAGTGCTCAACGGGTATCAAAGGTTGGAACAACGACGACGATTTCGGGTTCTTCTGCGGACCTCGAGGCACTATCATATCATACACACCGTGTTCCTGTAAAAATTGCTGTGTCGTGACTGCTGGTGGGGCTGACTTCATGTGTTAAATCTGAGTGAGTCTTTCTTTCCCTGCTGCCTTTCGAGTCCGAGTGTTAATGTGCTTGCTTAGCATGTTGCGCGCAAGAGGGCGTGGAGGAGCGCTGTGACGTAGTATCAATTTGAATATGACATACTTTACGGACTGGTAGTCTACGTTGAAGTTGCTCCTCGTAGTGCGAGTCATGATGGACACATGTGTCTTGAGACCTATCGTAGCATACCATGACAGAAACCTCGGGGTCTCATCGGCATCCACGGAGATAGCTTGCTGAGACAATTTAACACACGTATGAATAACTGAGGGTGGCAAGATACATCGTTGCTGGGTTGAGCTACTTAGTCCCTGCTAGTAAAGCGTTCAAGGACGACTCTATGCCAAGTTCCCGGTCGACTGCTTGTATTGTGGATATACAACTGAAAGTTACAAGGATCGATGCACAGGAATCCGTATGTAGGGCAACAAGTAAAGAAAATCACTTTGAAGGTTTGCTGAGCGCAAGCCAACTCTTGGAACATGTAAATTTAGATAGAAAAGCTATCGGGATCTGATTCCTCGACATTGGGCTGCTGGTCCGCTCCTGAGTCCGACAGCTCTTCCAAGCGAAGATAGTATCGGTTATCGGCATCCTTTTTAAGCACCAAAAAACACCCCACAAGGAACGCCCATATGGACGGGTCTATATGCGAGCGTACGGGAACTCTCATATGACCCTGGAAAAAGTACTTCTTTTCGCCGCATGCCACAGCGTCTAAAGTCGCCCACTCATCGAAGGGGCGCAATCCCCGTGGTAGGAGGACTCCGTCCTTGTAACGCAAGGAGACCCAGGCGAAGCACCACATAAACGACTCCAGATCATGGCGATATAGGTGTTTGACTTCGCCTCGTTGACCCTCTTCGGTGAGAAGATCGAGCGCCATGAACGGCACCTGTGCCCGTGCGTTCGTTGCCCCGAGGACCTGGGTCATCCGCCAACGAGGATAGATCGTAGTCGTTTAAAACGCCCATGCGCTTCCCATTTTTCCAGTACCACATCAAGTTTCCAGGGCTAATATCTCGATGATAGACCCCTTCCTTCCACAAAGAAAGGTGGCCTACAGGCCATGTCAACGAAAAGCCTCGTAAATGCGACGAAAATACGTACATAGGATACATTGATACCATACGTTGAAAAGCTCTTTGTCGGGAACCTTCGTGATGGGTTGGAGCTTGGGAAATACGAGGATGTAGAGTATGCGACTGCCCTTGGTGGGTTCTGGAACGCCGAGCACGTCTCGGATTGCTGATGTGGGATTCGTGAACTTGTGGTGCCAAAGCAGCTCGGGAATATGGTCTTTTACGGTATAGTGCGCCTCAGCGATCTCCTCAACCCTTTTCAGGATCTCCGGTTCGCTAGTGCGATCCGCTTCTCCCCAAAATATTTTAGCCACCATCCCATCCTGGAAGTTGCCGTATTTCTTCGTGAGCGCTTCGCTAGTGACAGGGACCACGTTAGTAGCCCGTCCTTGTAGTCCATAGTGTGTTACTCTTTCGTCGTGGCTGGTGTGAAGCAGGAGATCCACTTCTCCAAGCTCTTTATCCTTGATTTTGAATTCGTGACATTGTTTCCCCTCAACGTGCACTGGGAGGAAGTCCCTGTTTCGGCCCCAATCATGAACATCGAATCGTTGTAGGGCATACAACAGCACCATGAATCGCGGGAGATCTTGAATAAAGTTGATGCCTGAGCATTGAATGATCCCTTGCCGATCATAATACCAGATCCACATTACATCATCTGAAAAATCTTCGGTAAGAGCACGACCAACCTCGACAGACGAACGAACCCACCGATGACGATAATATTCAGCAAACAATTAACTCCAAGATTGGACGCAAACATTTCGGCAGCGTACAGACCCGTCTGCACGGTCACATCTAGATCGTCGTCCGTGTCGTCTGTGTCATCGGGGTTCTTCTTGGATTTTTTTGCGGCGGATTCCAAAGCGTCCGTGGCCTTGCGCTTAGAGCTGGACCCGCCCTGGGAAGCTTTGGCAGCTGTGGGGCCAGAAGATGGAACTGCAACTTGGCCGATTTAGCTTGATCTCAGAATCCTAGACATCATCACTTACATGCAGTGTCGGACGCAGGTTGTGTCGCTGGCGTCTGCGAAGGGCCTGGTGCAGGGACTCCAGCCTTAAGATGGTCCACCGGCAAATATTCTGGCTTGGTAGGAATATAGTCTGTCACTGTATACGAAGGGGGCGGTGGGTTAATCCCTTTCGTCCTCCCTGACGTCTTTCTCTTGAACTCGATGCAGGCCAAAACATCTTTCCAGGGAAGATTTTTTGGCTTTGCCACTGCATTCGCGTCCATGTGAGCCTTGCGCTTCTTTTTGCGCTTCTCGTCGTCGTTGTCGTCGTCTATCGCGTCATCCTTCTGTTTGTCCTTCTGTTTGCCTTTATTGCCGCCCTTCTTGCCATGCTTCTCATCCTGGAAGGGAGCGCATGCGCTGTTCAAAGGAAGAATAACGACGTCAGGGCTTCCGAGTTGATTTCGCGGTCTGGTGGGTTTGGTACATAGGCATATCGTTCTGCTGACAGATCATGTCTACGGCGGGGACAGCAGCACGCATCCCGTCAACCTTGACCTCTTCAAGACACGCAAGAGCAATGTTAGTGGCTCTTATAAAAGGGCCGTAGAACTTGTTTTCGGCTCCTGGACATACACTTGTAATCGTTATAAGCATGAAAACGCCTGATCAACAAACTTAGAACAAGCACTCACTATTCATTGAAAGCTGTCTCAATATCCGAAGACTTTACGAGTGCAGTGCAAGACTGTCCATTGCAAACCGGCAGAACCGCCTTGAGGCAGTTTTGCAGAAGGTCGGGTTGTTCAGTCTCGGGCGCGAAAGAAGCGCGCTGCAAGAGGGCTTGCAGCATGGAATCTGCCTTGCACTCCTTAACCTGCTCGATATCACGCTGAATCCATGGGCGGACTTTTTTAACCCTTGATGGAATGTTAGGTGCTACTCAATAAAAACAAGAAATGTGCGCACCTGGCACCGAGCACGCCGATGTTCTCGCTGATGACGGAAGCCCCACGGCTGTTTGGGGTAGATTCTATTGTGCTAGCAACATGAGTTTGTGCATTGGCGCGTGGCGGAGTGGATGATGTGCCTGTCTCGCTGGCAGGCGACATGACGCTAGATCTTGTTGTTACGCTGACTGAGTGTCGTCAGCAGAACTGGTGAGAGGACAAGAAAGACGACTGCTTTCTACTTGCCTTTAAATTTGGTCACCCAATGTGGCGCGAATGTGGTGGACCATCGATCAATCTGATTAGTGGACTGATCTGTGGCGGTTGTGGGTCTACTAAGCTACAGCTCGACTCCGACGACGCGTTCCCATCAACACGTGCACGTGACCCTGACTTATTTGAATTTGAATAGATCTGAGTCCTGGAAATCGATTTCAGTCTAATACTAAGTACAAGATCCATCTATACTCTAGTACTCTGTCAATTCGTTAGAAATAAGATCAATAGCAGCGCGCCAGGTGGACCATGTTTTTCACGGTGAGAGGGATTCCGCTATCTAACACCACATACATCTCGATCGTTCTTAGTGGTACGCAATCAATCATGTTCCCAGCTTATCCCTAGCTACTGGATCTGGTAGTACGTCATGATCGAGGGTCGATCATCGTCCGATATCCAAGTACGATTCAAATGGAAACAAACCTAAGAGTCGAGACGTGCTCGATAGCGGAGCCAGCGACTCGGAATATACCACTCCGACATTCTACTGACCACGAGCCTTGAGGTGATGGCGGAAAATCCCCTGGAACTGCGGGATGTGGTCAAAGTTCATGAGCGTGTAGTGTTCCCCAGGTACCTCAATATATGATGGCTCGCCGCGGCTGAAGTCAGACCAGGCCTTGAGCCGGTTGTTGATCCAGCCAGCTTGGTACCACGAAGGGGTATAGCACAGAAAACATCGACTACGGCTGAAGAGAGCTTGTCAGCCATCAGCTGGAGCTCGACGAAACGTTCTGGGGGGAGACAACTTCCATACTACCTCGAGCTGCTCCTTCTTCGCCAGCGGTCTCGGAGCAGGGACGAGATCGTTAGCATCAAGCTTCGACAAACGAGACCGAGGAAGTACGATAAATTGAGGTCCAGTCGATCTCGTGCATGCGGTCGGCGATATGAGAAGGAATGTTGGTGGGAACGACGAACTTCACTCCTTCTCCCATGACCTCGAGCTGCTTGGTGACTTCAAATGCGACAACACCGCGGTAACCGTAACCCACGATGGCGTATGGTCCCGTCGCCTGGGTCCTCTTGACTGCTGCGGCATAGCAGGAAACTAACTCGTCCATGGAAGTGAAGAAGGGGTGACCGGACTCAGAGCCACGGGCACGAAACGCGTAGAAGGGACGCTTGTTCTGAAAATATTTGGCAAGGTTGACGTGTTTCAGGTCTAAAGGGGAACGATGGGGTCATAACTCCTCAGTCTGGCTGTCCTTTAAGAGCAAAGCGTTGACATAGTTGGCCGGGCTCGAAACAAAGGGGTGCTTGATGGTCAACATGGTGGGGATCTCAGGTAGGCCGAAGTGTGCCTCGCGCGCGCTCGAGCCTGGAAATTATATGTGTTGGCAAAGGTCGGTTTACAGCGGGGACAGATTTAATCACCTGATGGCATCGATGGAAGTACCACCGAGTTCGAAGAAGTTGTCGCTCAGCGCGCATGATGTGCTTCGTAAGCTCGCAATATTGTTCGAAGAGACTGATAAGACGCGCACGAGACAGCGGAGTAGGGGACCCGCACTCAGGTAGGAGCGGAATAGCAGCCGTTTAGCACCGTTGCTTATTAGGGCTGCTCAATTCTTGGACTCAGTTCGCTGGCGGAGTTCACTTGTCACCTAATGACATCGCTTAACGTTCGGCAGGCACCCGGCATCCGTCAACATTCGCAAATAACACGCACTCCGTTCCGTTGACCATCGAAAGAGCGCTCCGTGCAGGAGCAATCATCACTAGCGGCCTAGGTAAGTATTGTTTGGCTAGCAGAAACGTGAACTGACATGCCTCCCCAGCTTATACCCGTAATAGCTGCTTTCTGATGGCTTGTGAATCTAATGAGTATGCATAGGCTCTCCTTGCAGTAAGTCTAGCTCGTTTGTGAGGATCAGACTGATTTACACTAATACTAGCTTGCACGTTCACAGCCGTCCGTCTCACCAACTCCGCATATGACCAGCGCCTCGTTCATGCCACCACCGCATGCCTATAGCGGGCAGCACATGTGGGGAGATCCGTCATATGCTACTCCGCAACACCAGCCACTGGCACGCTCCGCGACCGTCAACAGCGCTACAGGAGCCAGTGCTTGGGGTGGGGATGACCATAATGTAGGTCTGGACTACTACGATGACCACAGTGGTAATTTTTTTTTGTCAGACTTGAAGGTAGCGTGTTCGACTAATTTCAATTTAGGATGGAGCAGAGGGGCCCAAGTGGCTCTCCCGCTATTGCCTTCAGCACCTCCTGAGCCTAGCACGTCTACACCTACCAAAGGTGGTGCAAAACGCGCACGTGCAGGCACAATTGCTCCAAAATTGCGATCGGCAAAGAAGCCACGTAGATCCACAGCCAAGGCCACAGTTGAAGTAAAAATTGTATTATCTGCTAGTTTTGCTACCAGCCAGTCAAAGGTGTCTCGACTGACTCTGGTTCAATTGAAAGTTCACAAAAAACCATTGGTTCATAAATCTACACTACACACCTAAAGTGGTGTCGAAATTCACGATCAGGACCTTGCAAGCAGCACGAAAAGAAGTCTTTGGACCGAGGAATCTGATTGTATGGGCCTCGGGAACCATCACCAGTGATAGACGCTGCAGACGATCGATATTCAAGAGCTGCCATGAGCAATACATCAGAATCAGAAAAAAAATCATCATCAAGGTCATCATCATCGAGCACAGCCGCAAGCCCCATGAGGAGTTGGGCTTGCCCCGCGCGATGTGTTTGAAGTTCGGCCAGTGTTGGTTGCACCGTGCAGCAATCCTTGAATTCATTCCCGCATCACGGCTGGGCCATCGGCACGCTGTCGGCAGTGTTGCGGACCTTTTAAAAACGTCGATTTTTGATAAGTGAACTCCGCCAGCGAACTGAGCCCAAGAATTGAGCAGCCCTATTAGTCAGCCATTTAGTGTCTGCTGGGCTTTGTCGTAGCGTATTGCTCTTCACCACTTTGCCTTGCTCGCGACATACAGGCACACAGTCGCGGATGCACCGCTCCATAGTTTCCCGAGAGTGGTCTTCTCCATCTGGTTCACATGGATGAAAATCACAAACTGAGGTGGCAGGGTGATCATCACACAGATATTCCGCAGGGCCTGGTACGGGGCGAAGAGCTCGTGAAGGCATCTGTTCCGTTAAGACCGAAAGTTGACGAGTAGAAAATGATGAGCCCTTCGGTCTCCTGGCCAGGAGCACGGTAGGGAGCAGCAGCGAGGAATGAGTGCGTGATCCCTTCAACCATCTGGAGGTGGTTTCGAGCCCATGAGACGCCATGGATGATAGTGTCTTTAATACAATCGCTAAGGGGCATGACGCCATTCTCGATGATACTAATATCGCTAGTGCGGTACCAGCCGCCCTCAATAAAACTAGAGGACGTAGCCTCGGGGTTATTGTAGTAGCGTACCGACACCATCGGTCCACGAATCTGAAGCCCGCCGCTCTCGACGTCGGGGCGCAGGATGGCCCATCTGCGGGATCTACGATGCGCATCTCGCAACCAGTAATGGCGCGTCCGAGATCGAGGAACTTACGAGCAGGCTCGGTTGCGAGGATATCCACAGGGTAGTTGTGGATGCATCAGGCGCTGCAAGGCCATCTCCATGGATGAACCGGTACGGTGAGCAAACCAACTATTCCGCCGATAGCACTAGTACTGAAACAGTTTCAAATGCTAGGGCGACCTCGCCATGAGACTAGTTATCTGCTTCTGGCGTGCGTTCATCATCAGGGGCAGTGTTGACTACTGATAACTTACATCGCGCGCCGCAGCAGTCTGCATCACACATTAGGAATGGGCAATGCCGCTCATAACTGAAGCGGTGAACAATACAGCAACCGACTTGGCAACGGACATCATATTAATGTCCGTAGGCGTCTCATGGAAGAACCGTTCGCATTGAAAAGGACGTGTAATGCTGCGTCAGGACATATTGCATCCCTTCAAGATGGAAGGCGCTTCTATGCACGAGGACTCCATGATGACCGTGTTGGGCGATATAACATTTCACACCAGCGTCAGTCCCAACAGTAGACACCAGCCTCTACAACCTGTCTCCCGCACAAGCTGCATTTTTCAAGACACAAACCGGTATTGATAATGATGAAGACTTGAAAAAGCATATCCTGGAAGTTCAGGCGAAAGCATACAAGGCGAGTCATTTCCAGAGGACTTTGTAATAAGTTTAACAACCATCTGCCACTAACAGGTTGCACCATATCCTTGTATTCACGGATTTGGCTTCCTTCAGTATGTTTTCAGTAGATCTGCACATCGCACGTAAATTGAGCATTCCTCAGGTTAAACTTGTCAAAATTTCCTGTGTATGAACACATCCTGCAGCTTGGTCGCGAGCGCCCCAATGCGGTGTTACTCGATATCGGTTGTTGCTGTACGTCAGATCATTATGTACTGTCTTGAATAATCTTTTGACTCCATTTTAGTCGGTGTTGACGCCAGAAAGGCTGCGGCGGACGGGTTTCCTGCCAAAAACATTGTTGCGTCTGATGTTGTCAACGGTAATACAAATTTCCTGTGAATAATCATTCTTGCTAAGAATATGTATGTACAGAGTTTCTTCAATTGAGTCACGAACTTTTCAAAACGACACCAGCTTCTTATCCCGGATGCCTCCTTCCTGGAGATGCCTTCGATCCAGAATTTCTCTCTATAGTTGCGCCGTCGGACGACATCTCTCCGGCGCCAGCTATTGACTTGTCCTCGCTGAAATCCCTCAACCCTCTCCATGGTCGCATTAGCGCAATAAACGCTATTGCATTCTTCCACCTCTTCAATGAGGAGAAACAATTGCACGTTGCCAGGGCTCTCGCGGGTCTTCTATCTGCTCAGCCAGGCTCTGTAATTTGCGGCTTTGACACCGGAGCTCTCGAAAAGGGCATCGTAACTGCCAATTTATCAGGCGTCGAGTATCAGACGTTTTCTCATTCTCCCGAGACTTGGTTATCTTTGTGGGATGGAGAAGTTTTTGAGAAGGGGACTGTCAAGGTGGAAACAGAGTTGGTGGAAATTCCGGTTTTCGATACGCGACACTTGATGATGAGGTGGTCGGTGACGAGACTGTAGATAAGTATAACAACGGGACGCATCTAAGGTGTAGGAGACAATACTCACCTCGACCTTTGTAACCCTTACATGTCCTGCCGAACCTGATCGTACAAGAAGCTAACTCTATGAAATAGGTCTCCTAACAATTGAAAGCGAGCGGTGATATAATTGACCAAGGGATATCACATACGAAGAGTTTGCAACATTGATCAAAAAAATTTCAATTATATCCTCATCGACTACCGTCCGCGTCCGTGTTGGAACATTCTCTTTTCCATGATCCAGGTCGTCCGCATACATGCTATCATCCGATTTGATGCCAACATATTTTCCCGCAAGCTGGACGGAACATATTGATGTCGAGCGGAAGCGAGGCCCGGTGCCCTACGCTGGGTGAACCTAAGCCTTTCATGCCCGGTGGCTTAGAAAAAGTCGCTAATAATAATGCTTCTGCCTCTATTTTATCCGCTTGCGCAAGGAGATCGTCATAGATGTCTAAGTCCATCAAATATAAATCGTCATCTGACGGTTGGGACGGGGGACGGAGTGGTGACGCAGGTGAAGCATTTCGCTTTGAGGGCAGTTTGGAGATGGGCTTTGAGGTGAGATAAGCGTCGATCCGGACTCAGTTATGAAAACCCCGAATTCCTCGTTGGGACGGACACGGACTGCAAGGGAACTCAGGCCAAACCTCTATGGCGGGAGGCTGCGGCTCTATCTATCGAGGACCGACTACGACACACCGTAGGACTCCTGCTCCTGCGCCAGGACCCGTGGCACTCCCCACCTGATCTGACCTGCCAGAGCGCCCCACTCCATCGTCATCCAAGCTCCACACGGCGTCCCGTCCTGCGGCGGAGAGGATCGGAGCCTGTGCCCGGGGGGCATAGGGGTTGTTTTGTGAATTAGACTTGCTCGAGGTCGATGACGAAGGGATTGAGGTGGACAGTGTTGGATGAGGGTTGACATACCTTTCGTTGATAAGACGGAGAAACCGGAGAGGATACGGATGACAGATACATACACATAAAGTTGAGAAGCACCACATATCGGCCCCAGAGGTGTGATGTGGAATTCCAACGACGACCCTGCGACGGGATCAAATCCGACCCTTGGGATGTCATGATCGGCTCCAGAAGAAATTTTAATGATGTGGGCGTTACAGTTCAAAATCTGAGATTCGGACTCATCAGGTTGTAATTTTGTCCCGGGCACAAGGATGGTGCGGTGCGTGTGGACGACTGCCATCGAGAATCCCATTGACCCTGAGATCAGGAACAGGACGCCATCGTCGTCCGGCTTAGGTTCACAAGCAAACTAGTTGACTGCGACGGTGAGTTTCTTCCCTGAAGATTTTGCGACGGAAAGGTGAACTTCCAGACCAGGAATAGGGCTAATTTGCGCAACCCCAATTTCGCCGATCAGCCAAGTTGCAGAACGAAACAAGTTATTGATATGGGCCTTTCTTGTATGCCTGCTGTGCGCTAAGCATGGGCCGCAAACAGGGCATATGGCCAGCCAGCGGACACGCCCAGACAGCAGCCATATTATATTCGTGCTCCCGTCAGGCACACAACGATAATCGGACCTCTGTGTTTACCGCACTCGAGTATATCCCATGCAAGGTTGCGAACATCTTGGTTGAACGCAAAGAACATGTACCCGAGTACTGAGGAACCCACCGTGGGGCATGTCCATAATGAAATTGTACGTTTTACAAAACCGCCCAGAGTGTAGACGAGACGAAAAGATCTGGTCCAAGCTGACTGACCCAGTAGGTTATGGGATGTCAGTTACTGTCTCCACGGTGGTACTGACACCGCGGAATTCTCGCGCTACATATTGCCGTGAGTGGTGACAAAGGCAATGCGACAGTCACAGAATCAGGGCAGACGTTGTTATAGCCACACCGTCGATAACAAGGATTTTAGCTGAAAATCATTCGATTAGAAGCGTTGCTGAGGCGGAGCGGGGAACCGGCAAGGAGCGAAGAAAGGGTTCCGAGGTGTGTAATGAGAGAAGTAGAAGTTTTGAAACAGTAGGCAAGTTAAGCGAACGGAGAATGACGCGGTGAGTGAGGGGCAAACGGCATTATCCGAGAACTTGTACAGCCAAGGTTATAACGTTAAGGTTGCGGTAGTGAGAAATTAGATCTTAGACGTAAGGTTGACGTATCATGGAACTGACAAAGTTGTAACAAAGTCCCTGTACCTCCCCCGAATTTCAGCTCGACCAAAATTGCGCATACGTGGCGAGCATTCGTTTGGCAGGGCAAAGCTGGGAGAACTTACAGGCGTATCATCAATCCAATGGTCAGCGTGCATCGAATCCGCGCTCATAATTGTTGGCATGCCTGTATATGTAGTGCCTGAGTTACATCACCAAATATTCATTCCCGAATCCTCTACTAACGTGGAGTCGGGATAGGTACGAACCAAATATATTCATTGACTCCTAACTTGTGAGAATCATCGCTGTTGGCACAAGACCGACCCACATAACTAAGACTACTCATCTAAGGAGAATAATTATTTCAGAGATGTCACTGCGGTCGGTACGAAGAATCACTATACGGAATGGGACGAACACGCGACTCCTACCAAACTACGCAAACATACCCTCCTCGCTCACATCCAGTATCCCTCTCCCTGCCCACATAGCAGCAGCATTCAAATCCTCCACACCATCATTTTTTGTGCCCACGATCCCGTTCACCTCATATACCGACTTCGTCATACCAAGCGTCACTTTAATCGCCGGAGGTCCAGGCGCATACTCCTCGAGTTCCGAATCTAGGTCGTTTTTAACTGCAGGCCCAACTTTCCCATCTCGTTGGATGAGGCGTAGGATATTCCGAGCGGCAACTTCCGCTTGATAGTATGATGTATGTCCAGCTTTGATCGCGTCGAATGCGTCTGCTGCATCCCCCACGACGAAGATATTGGGGTATAAAGTCTCTTGGCATGAGTCAGATTCCACCAGGGTGTCCGTGGATGAGCTGGGTGACAGGCAATACGGCGAATTTGGAATGCGTGGAGAAGATGTCGTCGGAGATATGTCGTCATCTGCGACAGATGGCGACGACGGCGGTAATTCTAATGGCCCTGCCGCTTCTTCTATATCAAAAGTAAAGTTCTTCAACCAATGCAGTACATCATCGTCGTTGTCGTCGTCGTTATCTGCCTGAAACTTGTGAGGCTTTAAAGGTGGCGGAACGAAAAGTTGCATAGTCCGCAGAACACATGCCAGTCCAGTGTCTGTGACTATAGTACGAGGGTCCATATCACGGAGGAGCTTCGTGTTCGGTACTTGACCTGTGCATAGTAGCTGATGATGTGCTCATTTTAGCTCACTGTCGCTCGTTAATTTGGAAAATCCTACCAGTAGGTCGGCAGTTATTGTCTGCCCTGATAGAGTTCGTACTACGCGTGGTTCTGAAGACCCTTTCTTAGATGTGTGTTGGAGAGACTCGAAATCGAGTCGCTCTCCAAGAATAACCCGAACATTCAACTCCTGCAAGCCCTGAAGGGCTGTATCATCGTTTAGTTGAAATCACTTGATAGACAACACAAAACTCACCTTCTTCATGTATCCCGTCGTCAAACTTCGGCAATAAACGATGACGGGAATGCAGAAGCGTGACACGCTTTTGCGGGTATACGGCAGCGATGTCGGTTGCAAATTCTATATATAACCATGAAATGCATCCTTTGTGGAATAATGACGTAACTTACGGATACCAAGGGCGCCGCCACCAACGACTAACACAGACGTGGCAGCCTCGACCCGTTTCTGGCGTTCCTGGAGGGACGAGATACCCTCTGACTTTGTTCCCCCGTATTTTGGTAGTCCAGTTGGCTCCAAACTCGACTTCATTCTACCTTTTTCGTGACCCCAAAGGTCTATTGGCGAGGGCAAGTGGGAGCCGAGAGCATAAATGGCATAATCAAACTCTAAAGATGATTGCTCTAATTCTCCCAGATTCGGAGAGAGGATGATGCGATGGTCGTCTATGGAGGTGATAGTTGCTTGCACACGAACATGAGTCGAACATGAATGAATGTCTGAAAGTGAGCCAGAAGGGAAGTTGATGTACGGGATAACTAAAAAAGGAAATGTTAACCGCATTCGTCGAGAGCGGAACGTGCAGATTGAGCGGACGTACATGCTTTGTGCTCGTGACCGGCAAGAACAGCATATCTAGAAAAGTTGTAAACGTCTAAAACAAACAATGAATCCTCTTCCAGGCTTGAAAGCAACAATGCTCACGGTTCATGTGTCTATGGGACGACGGAGGTCAGCGGAATGCTTCTACTAGATCCGGAACCGGGACAACGCACGAATTTCTATCTACCAAAACAACTCTCCAGTCCTGTGGTAAACCCTCTGCAAGAAGTTGAGCGGCTCTTGAACCTAGAGGACATTTGGAGAAGGGTCAGTGAAAATGAATTTCAGCGCCATTCGTGCTGAACACACCTCCGTAGGAACCGCCCATGACGACAACTGTCCTTGTAGGAATTGACTTGTGCAGGGACATTGAAGACGGACGGGAAACCTTTGTGGCAGCGGACATGATGCTAAGTCAGGCCTGCAAGTACGGGTTCGTTGAATGGAGTTTATCAGATAAGAACCGTGAGATAGTACCACTGCCAGTAGGCTGTGGCGTCCCGTTACAGCTGTGTCGGCCTACTGGTTATTCCGATCGGCGGGCGTCCGGCCTCAAGTAACCTTGGCTCAAAGCAAGCTCGAAGGATACTTGAGTTTCAATATCTCGGACAGTATTTATGTGGATTGTGGGATCTCTAGTAAGCCAGCATTCTTACAATGAATCGGCAAAGTCTAAAATGATAGAGCACGGATGACGTGGATTCGTACCGTATTATTTCTCAAGGACCCACCGCATGACCTGTATCTCCCATCTGACGTGTATTACACCTACTGTACGGCGGCCAAACCGTCAATCCCCGACTCCGCTGGAACGTTTTCCCTACCGCCTTCTGGCTATTTTCAACCATCATTAATTCAGAACGTTCAGCGTCTTACGTTTTAGTCGCATGCATCATATCCGGTGTGTTCATTCAAAATGGCTTACCACATGCATCATTTAACCGTTCTATCAGTTCCCGGACAACCGTTAGAAACCGTCAGGGTGGTCTAGGCCAAGTCCCTAAAGGAAAAAACGATAACTTGCACTCTCCAAATAAGACAGCAAGAGTGAGATAAACACGTCATATAATGTGATCACGACAGCAAACCCGTCAAATGAATTGTTACGCGTGAACAAAGATGACACGAGAAGCAGGAGCGATAATGAGACACGAAACACTTCAAGAGCCGAGCGCAGAAGGTTCAGTAGTGGCAAATATCAGTGGGGACAACAGAGAGCGTCAAGGGTAGTCGCATATATTGTGAACAGTGTAGGGCGAACAAAGGGCCTCATCCAACACTCGAGGGGCGTCTTCACTCTGGATAACAATAGATGAAACGTCGTCAAAAGCAACGAACAAACACACCGACCTGAGGATCAAAAGCACGTGAGACAATGAAAGAAGACGCATTCTATTGAAAGAACCCTCCCCCACTAAACGTGAGAGCGACGAAAAAAGCACATCGACGAGAGGGTTAAACGCACGGTGAGACAATCTCTGCGGAAACGAGAGATTGATCTGACTATGTTCCGAGGGAGAAAGCGAGGATGATCCGAGGGATAGAGCAAGGTCGATCTGAGGCAAAGCAGACATATACGAGGGATCGTATTGGACAGAACGAAATCAAAACGATGAGGTAAACGCCGCTTGCATCGGCTAGTAAAACCTCGCTTGTCGTATTCATTGTAACGGCGTGATCTAGCAATTGCCTCGGTGCAATATTAGCATGTCTCATTTGGATCGGTACATTGCTGATGTGAGTCAAGTACTGCACTTGCAAGTGGTCTCTGAAGGTGCGCAACTCAGTAATATGAGTGATTCTAGTAACTAACTTACCTTGACACCGCTTTTTTGTTGGAGACTCCATTGGATCGAACAATCGTGAGACCTTTTACTTTTGGCCCTTGTGGCGTCCCACACTCGGGCTTAATCGTCACCGGTCGAGGTCATATGTGCCATGTAAGTTACCGGTAAGCCGACGTTAGAATTATGATTTGACGGTCCTTTGAAGTCCTTTGGGGGTGGGGTTTGCAGTCTGAGATCGGAGGTTTGCAGACCGTCAATTTGCTCTCGTGATCAGCGCAGACTCCGAGGTGGCGGCAGTTACCGGTAACTTAGACAAAACTCTAATTCATCCGCATACATTCTCGAAACTTTATTCTTGGCTTGTTCTTGGCACAAAATCGTACACGTGCCTTCTGCTGTGCTCAGCGTTATCAACGATGAGCTCACTGACTCATTCACACGTTGGATCACAGGTTACAGCATTGTACTAATGAAATCAATTCGATAGGTTTGTCGAAACGGTATCACAATGTCGTAAAATATGCCTCCGCTACCCGCGAGACGACAGATTTACTTTTCATTATACTTGCTCTTCCTCATTGTGGTGGCATCGAAAATGGTAAGTACAACATGTCTACCTTTTTCTTCCTTTTCCCTCGCCCTAATTCCATTTAGATAGTACGAGTCTGGCTCGCAGTTAGTGTCCTCTACGGCCCCCCCCTTTTTTTAAAAAATCCAATTAATTGGGAGCATAATCTACGGAGGACAATACACTCTGGTGTGAGGGCCCCCAGTACCCTGAACGCATCTCTGAATTCATGAACGCCCCGATGTGACGGCCCCAATATCTCCATGCTCTGTGTCAGCATTCGATATCTGCTCGCGAGTTAATTCTAGAACTCTATATCGTCGACTTTGAGGTTCCTCGACTTCTCGCACAGTATAACTCGTCAGGCTCCCGCACGATAAATTAAATATGCGAACACGGCACGTTTCAAACACCTGACTCGTTTGTCTAGAGTACGTGACCACCCACAGGATACAGGTAGAAGGTTGGCTCATCACCGGCACCCTCAAAATCCGATATATCTTACACTGTAGTCATCCACTATGCAGGATACATCTATTGCGTGATAATATGTCATATAACCACTGTAGGACAGTGACTATCTAGGGTTATTTCACCGAAGTGACAGCATCTAGATCTCGGGGACGAGCTTGTATTAGTGTTTCGAAGCAACATCTCAAGAAAAGGGTCGGCTTACCAGTCTTGGTATCACGTACTTGTAGATACCACCAGCACAGGACTATCGCCCGAACATTCGAGCTCGCTGTCGCGTACAGCGAGCTCAAGTGTCTGTTCTAAGAATACCTGGATTTTCATAGTATGATAGTGTATATAAAAATCAGTTCCGATCAGGCACAGATGCTATATAAATTAACGCATACTCGTAAAATCCTACTATTTCGATGCAGCCTATCAGATTCCACGGCACTCCCTCCCATTCAAGGGCTAGCGTCGTGCAGCACATGCTGGTGTGAGATTGGAAGATGGTCGTTTGAACAGTAAGTAGATAGTAGAGTATGATGGCAGCACGTTAATGTTCAAGTACATCCTATAATTAAAAGTCCCACAGTTGACAGTCGAACAGACTGCGAGCACAGTAGTAGTCAAAGAGTACTTACCTCACTCCTTACTGCATCTTCGCAGCCATGACTCGGTTTGCCGCATCAGCTAATGATGTAGGTTGGCAAGCAAAGTAAGCCTCTTTTCATTTTGAACATGTCGCCGTTTATCGTCTCGGTTTCTCCGCGCTCCCGCGGCTTCCCCGCACCCCGCGTATCTTTCTCGATCTCGTCTTACACTTTTATTCTCATTGGACAGCACTCGTATTCCCCATTTGCATGTATTGTTCTTAGTTTAAAGGAACTGCGGTGTTTCATTAATCATTGCTTATAATATTGTAAATAAAAATGTTGTCGTTGGGAATTGCAGTGAAGAACGCAATCGCTCTCTTGTACGCCTTTGCCACCAATAATACAAAACTACACGGCCTCCGTGAGGGTAGCAGGCATATGATATTGTTTAGTAGTCAATCTATCAAAGTTAGGTTCAAGATGACCACTCATACATCGAGACCGTTCTGCACAATCCAATTGATTTGGCAAATTTGCATACACTGAATGGAGTATACTTCGGGTCACCGGCAAGTGCCCGAAAGGGTCGTAATGAATCATATCACTGATAGCCTATCTACGGCCATGAACCAAGATTGAAATTTAAAATATTGAGTCGAGACTCCAGATTATCAGTGACATTGTTACAGAAAATGAGCCGAAACGAGAATAGTGAGCACCGATTTACTAAAAGGTGTTGTGACAGCTCACCTGCGATATGATCGGTAGACCGAATTTGTGTGTAGCATCGTCTGTGGGTGGATGTTGAATGGACGGTGTTGCCAATATGTTGGGAGGGGCTGAGGTGTCGTAACAGTGTCGTTGAACGGTTCAAGTTGATGATGTATGTCAAAGACTCAGCGCAAGTCGACACTCTAGGAGGTCAGGCGTGCATGTTCGAGGTGATTCTTGCTGAATCATTGAATGTAAAGTACAGAACACCGTGATCGAAGTTTTGGACAACGCACAACTGTAACCCGGGTCGGCCACATCACGAAGGAATTCTTGATGGCAGGTACAAGACTGCACGAAGGAGTTAGAACATCGAAGATCATGGGCCGAGACGTATCCTATCGCCGCATATCTGTTGATCTGGCTCGAGAAGGACAACGGCTTGATGTCAACGGAGGGATCAGGGTGAACTGGCAAATATTAATGACCATGTAGGGCATTCAACCCCACGTAGAGTGATTCTCGCACAGGATAAATCCACTGGCAGTTGGTCAGTGGACGATAACACAAGAATATGCATCGGACTGTTCGGATCACAGTCCAGTTGGGACACATATAACAGTATGGGCTATGCCAGTCACTATCGCCTAACGATAATGTCCCTGTCCACAGTACTGTCATCGCTGATGGTGAGGCTTGATTGAGTTTACCGCTGGTGCTGTAACTTGATCGCAAACTTTCCCATCAGCGATTGATATGCTTTGCAAGCGAATGAACAGGGATATGCGAGCACGTGAATGACGTTAGCAATTAGATGCAGGGTACCGGAGAAGGTTGGTAGACATTTGGATTTTGAGTGCTGTTTCCAACCCCTGTTTATCGAACGGTTGTTCTATCAGATTAGAGGTATGATCGAATTTCAATCAGTGCTGCTTTTGACACCACGCCGTATACTTGGACAACTACGTGTAAGTGGGTGGTGAAAAATCACGGCGTACATACCAAATGCTTTTGTATTATTGATGTCTGTAGATCAAGCTGCGCAGTCATACTAGTGCTGCATTTGATCAGGATGCACTCGGGCAATGCTTGATGTGGTCTTTCAAGTTGCGTCTTGCCCTGCAACCACCAATTGCTGCATATGGAAGAAACGGCACCCCGTACCACAGGCTGATCCCTGAATACGTGTTGCGTGATGAGGCGTTATGACGGAATTTCTTCTCTTGTAGCGATAGTCGAGGAAAAAACAACATTAATGGGGTTACTCTTGAACATTCGATAACAGTAAAAAGTAGGAAACACACAGACATGCATCACATTTGTTGCTATACATAATTTGGTACAATTGCAAGGTAGAAGATTGAGAGAGGCGCGGAGATAAGTCTAATACCTGTAACGGGTGGAATAATCTGAGGTGACGGTGAGCCCGAGTACAATACTGCGATGTTCAAATACAAACCTTTCGGTGATACGACAAGACCACGGCCCTTGGAGGCTCCACGGTAAACAGTTTCAATGATGTCAATCAGCTACGATGAGACGCATCAATAACGTGGGCCCACAAGACAAATCATAACGCGCCTCTTGTTTGTGATTCATTGCCCAGTTTCTGCAGCAGCAGGCGATGCAATTTTTGAGATAGATTAATGTGCAGAGTGGATGGGCTACGTACATCTTGTTGTTGTTACCAGTTCCGAGATCAATCATGATATGTTTATTACTGAATACGCAATACATCAGCTGCGTATTCGGTATTATAACAGGGGTATCAAACCTTACCGATAGAAGAACATGACGGTGCACGGATCATACAACTCGTACATCTGTAATATTTTGCCACGACCGATAGTTAGCGCAAGTGGAACAAGACTCGTGGAACATGCACACCTTGTTGAAGTCCGGGACCTCGGTAATATCTACGAGGTAGATGACTGCAAAGTTCTGCACTTTCTCTGCGACAGAGTAGAGGGTCTCGTCCATCGTCATGCATTGATGGTCCCAGTCGTGGCCAAAGCGAATCACAACAACACGGTCCTCTTCAGACTTGATGGCTTCGTCGACATGCCAACCGCTGGGCAAGTGTGGAAGGAAGTAGGACATGGGGGTGAGAATATGGAGAGCACCGCTGAAGATCAAATTACTGGAGATAAACTACAGAGACGATTTCGACAGGCAAAGCAGGCACAGCCACGCTTAGAAGTCACTTCCACTTTCGTTGCCACCGCCACTGGCAAACCCAACGTTTTATACTCTTTTAAAGTCAGAAAGTGCATTCAAATGGGAGCGCTACACTCTATGCCTCTGGCGACGAGGGTTACACCTTCTTTTCGATTGGTTTGTTGTAGAACTCAAAATATTACAAACCCCACATCAATAACATTCAAGTTTCCACCGGTCGCCTATCGTTGCTTCTGGCGGCTCGGGCGCTGTGCCAATGCGTGCTAATTGCTATACCTCCAACTCCAAGAGCTCCCCTTGTCGATGTATGAGAGCCGCGAGCATCGGCATCGTATTTGTTGTTGTTTGGAACCAAAGTACTTAAGATAGACCTCGAGCAGTTTCTGTAAACATCACGTGATAAAGTGTGATGAAAGCAATGAATGTGTATAGGATGTTTGTGGTGACAAGATATAAAGAAACAGAAATGGAAGAGTTGTAGTATATGTACTTCTCGACAAGTCATCTGTTCCAGAATTCCCATTTGTGTGAAATTGAAGGAGGAGATGGTGATACAAGCAAGGTTTAAGGCATACATTGTACCCAAATGGCCCCCAAACACTCCAGACTCTGCTTCACCTACCATCTGCCTGATACAGAAACATGCCAAAATGCCAAAGCAGTCATGAAAGTCTGGTCTGCAATTGAGAACCTAGGTAGTCAGGCAAAAAAGCAGAAAATATCAGTAGATACAGAAAATGTGAGTTTTCAATTGTACTCACTTTTGAAATCAATGCTCATGCCTGTGCAGAGTCATCCAGTAGACATAACTTCAAGTTCTGTAGTAGCTGTTAGAAGCTAACACACAGAACATGCTCAGTGTTGGGAGACAACAACTGAGGTATGAGGAACAAGATGATGTGTATTATATATGTGAGTGTATGCAGTAAAGTATAAAAGGAAATGTACTGAGAGTGATGATGATGACAATGATTCAACACACTCCCACAACAACACATTGTTGCAACTATTGTGATACGAGTGAGAGACTGCCTTGATGATGAAGATAGAGAGGGTGAGGAAGACATTTGGTGAATATGTCTGTGGTGTTCTTGTGAGTGGAGAGCCACTTGGGTTTGGAAGTCCCATCCTCAATATGCACATGTATGAAACAATAATGCAGATCAATATGCTTGGTGTGAATGTGATTTGCAGCTTCTTCTGACAAGGTGATGGCTCTGGCATTATCTGCAAAGATTCAAAGAGGCAAGGAGAGAGGGATTTTCAGGCATTCAAAAAATGAGAGGAGCCAGAGACCATCTTGAATAGATGTGGTGAGGGCCATGTACTCAGCTTCAATTGAGGACAAAGTGTGAGTGAGTTGCTTCTTCAACAAGTGTGACATGGGGCCCCCATTGAAGAACCAAACATAGCCTGTGATGGATATATGGTCTTCAGGGCAGCTTGCCCAGTCAGAATCACTAAGACCATGAAGTTCTGGGATAGCAGTTGCACCCCATAGTGCATATGTAGACTGATTGTGCCAGCAAGAAAGCAAAGGACATGTTTCATAGCTGCAAAATGATGAGGTTCTGGGCAGCTGTTGTGCTGTGTGAGTTTCATAATGGTGATGGCAATGTTGGGACGTGTGTACATTGAGAGATACAACAATTCACCCACCAGCTTACAAAATTTGGTGGTAAGGTTCTTGACATGGGGATGTATGTTGATATCATGGCTGAAAGGGAAGTGAGGGTCCATAGGAAGGGTAATGGAGTTGCAGTTGAGCATGCTGTGTTCTTCAAGGAGGTATGTGATATAGTCAGTGTAACAGTCAAGTTTCCCTTAGGCTTACAGTAAGCAACAAAACTGTTGCAATATTTGTGTGAGATTGATTACTTTGGCTATATCATCACAGGGATGGCAGCTATGAAAATGTGGATGAGAGTAATATTGTAGCCCTATATCCAGGCTACAATAGTTGTACTACATTGCAGATGTGAAAACATTTCCTTAAAATGATATAAGCAATTTACTACATGGTATGCATTGCAATGGTTTTGTTGCTGATATTTTTAAATATCAAAATGCTATTGATAGACATCAGTTATGTTATTTAGTATGTCCTACAATGTCATGTGGCATGTAAAAGGGTCACCATGATATAAACAAAGCCAAATGTTGAACTTTCTCAACATTCATCATCATGAAAGCCCTCCCTGCTGACAAAAGCAACCAAATCCTTTTTCACCTTAATTTTAACCAATTTACAAGGGAGATCTCACATGCTACTAGTGTACACCATAGTACCATTATCAGAATTCACTCTAAACCTCATTCTGACCTTCAAAAGTCCCCTGGTGCTTGTCCTTCTGTCCTTTCCTCCCCCAATGTTCAGCATGCTATATGGTTAATCAGTACAGACAAGGCTGGAAATGCCACTCAAGTGATAAGAGCACTTCAGGACATCAAGAACCAGTCTATGTCCTCTCAGACAACACATCATTACTTGAGGAAATCTGGTATGGAGCCTGTAGTGAACAAAAACACCCTCTCCTATCCAAGTGTCATAGGAGAGTAAGACTAGACTTTGCTATCAGTCACCAGCTCTGGACAGTGGATGACTTGAAAAGAGTCATATGGTCATATTAAACCAAAATTAATTATTTTGGGTCAGATGAAAGGAAGTAGGCTTGGAAAAGGATAGGAGAGGGCCTAAATAATAGGCTAGCAGGAGAGAAGAGGGTGTTTTTGTTCACTACAGGCTCCATACCAGATTTCCTCAAGTAATGATGTGTTGTCTGAGAGGACATAGACTGGTTCTTGATGTCCTGAAGTGCTCTTATCACTTGAGTGGCATTTCCAGCCTTGTCTGTACTGATTAACCATATAGCATGCTGAACATTGGGGGAGGAAAGGACAGAAGGACAAGCACCAGGGGACTTTTGAAGGTCAGAATGAGGTTTAGAGTGAATTCTGATAATGGTACTATGGTGTACACTAGTAGCATGTGAGATCTCCCTTGTAAATTGGTTAAAATTAAGGTGAAAAAGGATTTGGTTGCTTTTGTCAGCAGGGAGGGCTTTCATGATGATGAATGTTGAGAAAGTTCAACATTTGGCTTTGTTTATATCATGGTGACCCTTTTACATGCCACATGACATTGTAGGACATACTAAATAACATAACTGATGTCTATCAATAGCATTTTGATATTTAAAAATATCAGCAACAAAACCATTGCAATGCATACCATGTAGTAAATTGCTTATATCATTTTAAGGAAATGTTTTCACATCTGCAATGTAGTACAACTATTGTAGCCTGGATATAGGGCTACAATATTACTCTCATCCACATTTTCATAGCTGCCATCCCTGTGATGATATAGCCAAAGTAATCAATCTCACACAAATATTGCAACAGTTTTGTTGCTTACTGTAGATTTACTTACTTTACTTACCTTTACCTACCCTCACTTTCTTTAGCTTATGTTTGCATTTTTGCTGCTTACTTAAGCATGTATCTCTTTCACCAGTGTCAGTACCAGTCTGAATGACAGTCCCTGTCATATCCCATATGCCAGACATAGATCCCATCATATTCCCACGCTTTCCAGACCTGTTTCCGGACCCCATATCCAAGTCATTCCTGGATCCCCTATCCTGTCCACCCTACGCACATTCCATCCAGCAAGACATCCAGACTTTACCTCCTCTTGGATTCTGGACTACATCCACCACCTCACATATCTTAGTCCTGTTTCCGCCCTGCCTTCCAAATCCCCAGATCTCTGGACTTCTGGATATTAACTGTACTATCTCTGGACCATTCCCACCCTCCGTCCGAGATCCTGTGCCTATCCCCATTTAGGCATCTCTGCCTTTCTGGTTCTTGGTTATCTCTGTTTCCGTCTTGCTAATTGATCCTTGTACTAGTTTCATCTCTGAGTTCATTTACTTATGTTCCATCTTACTTACCAATGTGTTTCCACATGCTCATACATAGCCTTACTCCTTTGCTTACTGATCCTCTTGGATAGCCTCTAGTATATAACCCCTGTACAACTACAGTAGAGTCCTCAGTCTGAATATCATCTTAGTTCCTGCTCTCTCACCTTAGACTTGCCCAATCTTCTTCTGGACTTTAGTCCATCTGAGTTTGTCCTTTTCCATAAGGCCTAGGGATGGATTCCCTAGGCCGGAATTCCGGACCTTCGGATTTGTCCCCTATTTCTCTGTCCCAAGTCTAGGGATTGCTTCCCTAGGCTAGAGTCTTGCCTTTCCGGCACTTACCCTCTTTCTGGACTTAGGTCCACTTCCTGTCCCTCTGACTCTACCTTAGGGTAGTCTACCTCCATTTGCTTCTACATCGGATGAAGTCTGATGTAGCTCCTATTCCTTCCGGACCTCCTGTCTTCTGTACCTCCAGATGTCCTGTCCCTCGTACCTTCGGATGTTCCACCCTCCGTACCTTCGGATGTTCCACCCTCCGTACCTTCGGATGTTCCACCCTCCGTACCTTCGGATGTTCCACCCTCCGTACCTTCGGATGTTCCACCCTCCGTACCTTCGGATGTTCCACCCTTACCTTCGGATGTTCCACCCTCCGTACCTTCGGATGTTCCACCCTCCGTACCTTCGGATGTTCCACCCTCCGTACCTTCGGATGTTCCACCCTCCGTACCTTCGGATGTTCCACCCTCCGTACCTTCGGATGTTCCACCCTCCGTACCTTCGGATGTTCCACCCTCCGTACCTTCGGATGTTCCACCCTCCGTACCTTCGGATGTTCCACCCTCCGTACCTTCGGATGTTCCACCCTCCGTACCTTCGGATGTTCCACCCTCCGTACCTTCGGATGTTCCACCCTCCGTACCTTCGGATGTTCCACCCTCCGTACCTTCGGATGTTCCACCCTCCGTACCTTCGGATGTTCCACCCTCCGTACCTTCGGATGTTCCACCCTCCGTACCTTCGGATGTTCCACCCTCCGTACCTTCGGACATTCTGTCCTCCATACTCCAGACCTCCTGTCCTTCCATCCT